TCAGCTCCCCATCCTTGCCCCCTTCCCTGAATCGTGTCTCTCCACCCCAATCTGAGCCAAGGCTTCATGCTCACCTTGAGTCCCCAGGACTCCCCTTGGTGACCTGCCCCATCTATGCCCAAGACCCTGGGACACCCCCTACCCCCAGATTGCGAGCCAGCCTCTCCCCTGCCCAGGTACGAGCTCCGGGTCATCGTGTGGAACACGGACGAGGTGGTCCTGGAGGACGATGACTTCTTTACTGGGGAGAAGTCCAGCGACATTTTTGTGCGGGGGTGGGTGAGGGCCCCTGACAGGGTTGGGGGGCCCTGGGCTGGGTGAGCCCACCCTTCTGGGGGCAGGAGAAGAGGGAAGGGACCCCCTGCAGGTGGCCGCAGGTCTGGAGCTGATGGCCCCTGGCAGGTGGCTGAAGGGCCAGCAGGAGGACAAGCAGGACACGGATGTCCACTATCACTCCCTCACCGGCGAGGGCAACTTCAACTGGCGCTACCTGTTCCCCTTCGACTATCTGGCCGCCGAGGAGAAGATTGTCATCTCCAAGAAGGAGTCCATGTTCTCCTGGGACGAGACGGAGTACAAGATCCCCGCGCGGCTCACCTTGCAGATCTGGGACGCCGACCACTTCTCCGCGGACGATTTCCTGGGTGCAGGGCTGGGGAGCGGAGGGGGCGGGCAGGGGGAGCCCACCCTGGGGGCGGGGGGTCCACCGGGCCCGGCCTGTCAGAGCTGACTCCAGGGCTGCCACAGGGGCCATCGAGCTGGACCTGAACCGGTTCCCCCGGGGCGCGAAGACAGCCAAGCAGTGCACCATGGAGATGGCCACGGGGGAGGTGGACGTGCCCCTGGTTTCCATCTTCAAGCAGAAGCGCGTCAAAGGCTGGTGGCCGCTCCTGGCCCGCGATGAGAATGATGAGTTCGAGCTCACGGTGGGGACCGCCACTGCTTGGGCAGAGGGCAGGCCTGGGCCTGGCTAGGGCGCGGAGGGTCCCGGCGCCTGGCCTGAGCGCTGAGATCCTTCTGTTCCTTTCTGCAGGGCAAGGTGGAGGCAGAGTTGCATCTCCTGACAGCCGAGGAGGCAGAGAAGAACCCCGTGGGCCTGGCCCGCAATGAACCTGACCCCCTAGAGAAACCCAAGTGAGTGTGCTGCCCGCCTGGCCCCCCTGCCACGCTGGTCCCTGGGGCCACTGGAACAGGAAGGGGGAGCAAGAACCTTCTGGACTTCTCGCTCCCGCTCTGCAAGCACCTCTGTGTTCTCTATCTCTCTCTGGGCGGGGGAGCCTCTTCCCCTGTCGGCTCCCCACCGGAATCCACCCCTCCCTCTGAACCAAAACATGGGCTACTTTTTCAGGAAAGCAGCTCCTCTCCCAGGGAAGGTCCGTGTCGCAGAGCTGAATGCTCTTCCTAGTTTTAGCCCACACAGCTGCCGTGGTGGAATGTAGGCCCCAGGCAGCCCTGAGGGCCGGGGAGGTGCCCAGAGGTGCACACGCTCAGCCCAAGGTCACCCCAACCCGTTGCGAGGCCCCTACCATACCCTGAGCCTTCTTTATCCTCTGTGTCCTTTCTCCACGCTGCCTCTGCCCTCTTGCTGCTCTAGGCGGCCAGACACGAGCTTCATCTGGTTCTTGAACCCTCTCAAGTCTGCCCGCTACTTCTTGTGGCACACATACCGCTGGCTGCTCCTCAAACTGCTGCTGCTCATGCTGCTGCTCCTCCTCCTCGCCCTCTTCCTCTACTCTGTGCCTGGCTACCTGGTCAAGAAGATCCTGGGGGCCTGAGCCTGGCTTCCTCCTGGCTCTGGTACTCCTCACTTCTTCCTCTGGACCTAGGGCTGATGAGCTGGGCAGCATGTGACACACACACACGTGTACACGTGCACACATGGCAATTTTCAAGCTGTCAGACAGTCCCATAGACTCTAAAATGACTGTTACATGATTGCATTTGAGGCTGGAGAGACAAAGCAACTTGCCTAAGGTCACCTAGCCGATTAGAGCTAAGACCCAGCCTAGGTTTTCAAGTTGCCAACCGAGTATTCTTGGCATGACACCACTTGCTGTCCTTGTGACAGGCTGACTCTAACCCAGTGCTGTTGGCAGAAAGCAGTTGACATGTGGACAGGGAATGGGGAAGGGTTTGGCTGGGAGTAGACAGCAAGGCCTCACTGGTTCCCACCAGCCCCCATCTCCCAACCCAGAGCCGTTTTCTGTCGTGCAGGCCAATTAGGAACCCTGTCCAGTTCCCATAGCTTAGCGGCCAACATCTGCTGACCAGCCAATATCTGCTGAGCGGCTGGGGGCCAGGCACCATGCCTAGCAGAGCATGTGCACTTTGTCTCCTTCCCCTTTACCAACCCCAGAGGCAGAGTCCACTATTAACCCCATTGTGTAAGTACAGAAACTGAGGCTCAAACGGGAGCCTGACTTGCTCATCACCACCAGGCCTGGAAACCAGGTGCCCTGAGTGGGAGCCCCACTGTGCCCTGAGCCTGGCTCTGGAGGGCATGGTCTGTGTCCTCTGCTGGGCTGGTAGGACAGGAGCTTGAAAAAAATCTATTCAGTACTTGAATTTTATATCTTGACATCTTATAAAACCTACTGTCTTTGTAAACATGAACAGCAGAGGTGAGAGCTTAGCAAGCACCTCTTGGCCGGAAGGCAGTGCAGAAGGTAGAGCAGCAAGGGGCGTGCGTCCCACGGAGGCTCCTCAGACCCTGGGCGGGGTGCGGTGGGCACAGATGCTCATGTTCATCACAGAGGGGGAGAGGCTGAGAGACACTGGTTTCACAGAGACAACACGGGGCAGCCCCAGAGCACACGCGGGTTGCTGCTGAACAGAGGAGCTTCCCAGGGATCAGCACTGTGGGCAGCGTGGCGGCTGCCTCTCAGTAGTGAGCAGCCACGGCCACCAGGGTCCAGGTGGAGGCTGGACGGCCGCCCAGCTGCCAGAAAGCCCTTGGGAGGGGCCTTGGGAGGAGACCAGGTGCCAGAGGGTCACACAAAGAGCCCAAACCTGGTGCTTAAGAAAGGGGTCCACACCCGGTTCCTGTACTCTCACTACTTTTGGAACCCAGGCTGTGACAGGGCATGTTGGGGGTCTTGAAGGGCCGAGGGCATGGGGTGCCCTAGGAGAGGCCCATTGCCTGACCGCACCCCCTCCCCACCCCCAGCCGGCCTGACACCGCCTTTGTCTGGTTCCTCAACCCCCTCAAATCCATCAAGTACCTCATCTGCACGCGGTACAAGTGGCTCATCATCAAGATCGTGCTGGCACTGCTGGGGCTGCTTATGCTCGCCCTCTTCCTCTACAGCCTCCCCGGCTACATGGTCAAGAAGCTCCTCGGGGCCTGAAGCCCCATGGCCTGGCTGCCGCTCCTCTCCTGGGCCTGGGCCTTTGTCCCTCCTCTCGTGTGGACTTTCCAGTCTCCCTGGGGAGCCTGGGAAGCCCAGTGTCCACCTTTGCAGCCTCAAGTCCCGGAAGCCTGCCTCCCGCTTGCTGGGCTGGCAACCCCATCCCTCTCCTCCTCCACCCCAAGCCTGTTGCTGGCCCTGTCCCACTCAGCTGGTCCCCGCCTGGTGGGTGAGAAGGGTGGGCAGGAGTGGGGGGGTCTGTCCCCTAAGCCACCCCAGATCCTCCCTTAGGCTTTCCCGTGGAGGAGTCAAGGTTTAATAGAATTAACTGAGAATCCTGTCATGGGCCAGTGCCCAGAGCTATAAAAAGAATGAATAAGCAAAAAGCATCACCCTCCCTCCTCAACAGAATCTTGTGAGGGCAGTCAGACCACCAGTCCTTATTCTGTAAATGAGGGTCAGATCCTTCCTGCTAAGTTGTGGAGGTGGCCGCTTCTGCCCTGCTGCCCTCCAGAGTGGCTCCTCCTCCTTCCCAAGGAGCCATCATGGTGGGTGCACAAGCCTCGGCCGTGCCCTGCCTGTGGGTTTTTATCGCTTCCCAGAGCTTCCTCTGCCTGGTCCAGTGCTCAGAAGCCTAGATGAGGAGCAGTGAGAGTGAAAACCCTGTGCCCACCCATCCTGCCAGGCCCTCATTTGAGGCCAGGCCAGGATGTGGTACTTGCAGTGAGAGCCTGGTTTCTGTTGTCTGTTGTTCCTTTCGTGAGTGGTGATTTTTCTCTTAATAAAATAAATTAAACACTAAGCTGACAAGTCTGCATTTGGCCAAGTTGGGGGACCAGTATAGGGGCCCAGAGTTTGTGAGCTCTCTGAGGTTGGCAAACTCATCACTAGCTGGACCCTTCTGGCTTTTCCCCTTTGAATAACCTCGTGGCCCAAGATTCAAGAAGGGCCTAAGGCATGGGGCCACTTGCTCAGGCTGACCACGAGAAGAGCCTTACACTAAACCAGGTGGAACCAGGGACCCCAGAAGCTTAACAAAAGGGTCCTGCAGGCCCAAGGACAGTCTGAAGGCTTAAGACCCTACAAGAGCCTAGAGCACTTGGGTGGCTCAGTTGGTTAAGTATCCAACTTTTTTTTTTTAAGATTTTATTTATTTATTCATAGAGACACAGCTAGAGAGAGAGAGGCAGAGACATAGGCAGAGGGAGAAGCAGGCACCATGCAGGGAACCCAATGTGGGACTCAATCCCAGGTCTCCAGGATCACGCCCTGGGCTGAAGATGGCACTAAACCACTAAGCCACCAGGGCTGCCCAGCATCCAACTCTTGATCTCAGCTCAGGTCTTGACCTCAAAGAGTCGTGAGTTCAAGCCCCACACTGAGCTCCACAATGGATGTGGAGCCTACTTAAAAAACAACAACAACAAAAAAGACCCTGCAAGAGCCCCAAAAGCTCCAGCCTCCGCTCACAGACTCCTCTCACAGCTAACTGCCCCCAAATGCAAGAGGGGAGTCCCATGCCACTGGCCAGGTCCAATCCCACAGTGACAGGACTATTGTCCTACCACAATCTGAGGTGGGGCCTCATGACATGAGGTGGGGTCATGGGCCAGCATTTCACTGGACCTGAGCTCTTTGAAGAGATTCAGCCACAACTTTTTAAAGACTTTAATCATGACTTCAGGATACAGGTCACCCCTCCTCTGGCCTTATTTTGACAGGCCTGATCATAGCAGCTCTGGGAAATCCAGAGTGGTCCCAGGCAGCTCCCTGGGTGACATGTGCCAGCTTCGGCTCTAGCACCAACACCAATGCCAGTGCCAGCATTCACCTTAACACAGCAGACTTTTGGGGCCCAGCTCTATTTTGTGGGTACTCGGAACACCTGAGTTGGTGGAACTTGCAGTTCGGAGTTTATCTGGAAGAGAAAAAGGAAAGGTCATTACATTTTCCTGGGGCCCTCCTTCTTCATGACCTCTGGGGGCAGGTGCACATGTTGGCTCTCCTAAGGGCTCTAAATCTCTGCAAGTATTTCTTCCCAAGGGCTTCCAGATGCTGGGGGAAAGCCCACAGTCTGCCTCCCTTTAGAAGAGAAGTCCTAAAGCTTTTCGTATGGCTTCTGCTCCAGCCAGCTAACTTTTGGTAATGTTCTAACCTTCTGCTCTGAGCCACTCTCTTAAATCCTCCCTCCCCCCTCACCTGTGCATCCCATCACCAGTCTAGCCCTCCCCCTTCCTCCTCCTCCCCCATCTTCTTGTACACAGCAGCATGGACGAAAGCACGGACCACATAGTCCTCTAATGTGTATCACAGGCCAACAGGCCATCACGACACCAAGGCTTACCACATCCTCTGCTCAGGTGTGGCCTGGGGCCTAAGACCATGGTGGGGCCACATTCTCAGTTCCTGGGTTTGTGGCTGGCCTCGGTCACCTCTCACACACACAGCTGGTGAGGAGAACCTACCCTCAGCCCAGTGTGTCAAGGCTGTCCTGGCCCAGGGCTTCAGCATCATGTGAAAGATTCTACACTAGCAGAGCAGAGCCACCAACTGTGTTATGAGTGGATTCTAATCTTTGGAGCAGAGGCAGTGAGATTTCCTCTCCTGCAGGCCATGGGAACAGTTGCCCCAACCACACTGGAGTGGGCAAGAATGGGGGCCAGCAAATATCTATCCCAGTTGGCGCCTCCTCTCACCGTGTTACATCCCAGGCCGGACAACGTGGGCCAGCAATATGGGAAGAGCCCAGGGCTCTGGGCATGTCACAGAGTCACCCAGTCTTGATTCTCCTTTTTGGGAGAATCATCTATGCCCTATCGACCTCACAGAGGGGTTGTTAAGACAAAGAAGAAAATTCATAAGGAAGGGTTCTGTGGGCTATGAAGCCATCGTGGGCTTTGGCACTGCTTCCAAGAATAGTCCAACAAGCAGCTTGTGCCAAAGACCATGGGCATGAAAGGGGCACTCTCACAGCCCAAACATCTCAGAGAAGGCTTTAGGATTGTCCATTCCCTTGCCCAATAATTCTGTCCCAACCTCAGGTATGACTGTTGATACTTTATGTCACACCCCAATGCTCCCTTGCTTCTGGTGAGGGAAGAGACTCATTTCCTAATATCAGCTCCAGCCCCACTGCCTCCCTTGGCCGCCTGCCTACCGTCCTTGGAGGGTCCGTCACCCACCTTGGATTCTAGATACTGTTGAAGCAGCATCTGGAGCTCTGTGTTCTGCTGCTCCAGAGAGTTGTTTTCTATCAGCAGCTTGGCCCTCTGGGTCAGGATGAGGCTTTGGGTGGAAAAATCAGTTAGAGGCTCATTGAATCCTGCATCCTCTGCCAAGGAGGGACCAGGATCTCTGTGTTTCTGGTCTGTTTAGAGGTGGAAGAGGATTCCAGAAGCCTGACCCCAGAGCAACCTCCCTGCCCAAAACAAACCAGGCTAGCAGGAACAGAATAGGAAGCCAGAGGACCAGCCACCCAACACCACATGCCCCTTCAACAGGACCTTTCCCTCCAAGGGCAGCTTTTCTCTCCAAGTCAGGGAGGTGGCAAACTGGCCACTGCAAGCAGAATCCTCCTCCACCAACTGCCTGGGCCCCTCCTTCTCCTGGGCTATGACATGCACACTCACTGATACTTCTCCAAAGCTGTGTACAGAGCGTCCCAGAGGTTCTGCGTGGTATCAGGGATAACTGTGGTCAGGGCCTCCCAATACTCAGAGTCCTTGGAGTCATCTCGCACATGCTTCAACTTCACTGGCGCCTGGGAGTCCCTGAAGGTTAAGAGCAACAGTATCATCATCACCACCTGGCACCCCCCCAGGCCCCCACGCGGGGCCAGTCACAGTGCCTGTCCCTCACAGACTCTGCTTGTCCACCAGTCACCTTCCCACTCAGTTTCGTGAGTCTATCGGCTTATGGCCGATTCTCAGAAAGTGCACATGACTTCCCTCAGCATTCCTGACTGCTGGTGCCATTGTCGCCTTTGTCATCCCCTTTCTCTCAGTCAGTTTACCTCACTGACTTTATATCCCGCTACTATGCCCAGTTCTTTCACTAATGCATCCAAAACACCTCTCAGAATTCGGTGTCCCCTCAAGGATAGCCTTGATCCAGGATATCATCAACTCCACCAGGACAAACCTTTCAGCTGCTCTCCTGTATCTGGCATCACCGTCCCCTCCCCACCACCAAAGGGATCTTTGCGAAATGCAAGCCCAACCATGGCGCCTCCACTGCTTAAGACCATGCTCTGGCTCCGGGCCACTAAAGGACAAAGACAAAGATCTTGGGCATGGCGAGCAAGGCTCTCCAAGATCTTGCCTGGCTCCCCTGCCCACTGGTCTCACTTCCCAGGGAAGACCCTGACAATAGCCACACCTCTCTGCCACGATTCTGGAATATACCAGGCCTTTCCCCATACTGTGACACCCTGAAATGCCCTTTCCCCCCGCTTAATCCACCCAGGAAAACCCAGGTTGGGTGCCTAAACCCCTCTCGGACATGCCAGATGGGGAAGCCACTGCCTCTCCCAAGTGATGTGACACCTTGTTATGCTCTGCCCATTGTTCTGATAACCAGGCGCTCCCTCCACAGGGCCCACACCCAGCAGACCCCAGTGACTGTTGAATGAATGATGAATGAGAAAATGCAAATCACTTCTACGCCTATTTCTTTCCTTCATGTCTACTTGTCCCCCGATTCCTCCAGCCCTCCCGAGGACCATCCTCTCCTCCCCACCCAGGTTCCTGTCCTGCAACCTCCACACTCAGACTATAGCATCTGCATGGCCTCTGCCCAGCCCGCTTCAAGCAAGCCCTCCAGCACCACACCTGGGCTTCTTCAGACCCATGACAAAGGCCTCCAGGATCTTGAGGACATCGTTGGGGTGGATGAGCTTGGGAGAAGGGGGGTGCTCCTTCTCTTCCGCCTCCCCTTCCCCAAGGCTTTCCTCCTTCTGTTCCTCAAGGTCTCTCTTCTCTCCTGGCTCCAGTGCCGACATCAGGCTTGTTTGCTCCTGTGGGGGTGACAGATGCCAAGGTAAACCAATGTCATCAGTTTCTTACGTATCCTTCCAAAGAAATACTATGTCCCTACAAGCAACGCCTTCCCTCCCGTTGTCACAGGAATGATGCTCTATGACACACACAGTGCTGCACTTTACATGTTTCACAATAAACCTTAGGGATGTTTTCACATAAATACGTAAAGAACTTTTTTGTTCTTTTTTTTTACCGGTGCATAGTATTCCACTATGTAGATTCACCACAGCTCCTAAGAGCAGGAGGTTTGGCTTGTTCCCTTGAACAATGAATTCTTTCACGATGGAATTGTAGATTGTTTTCAATCTTCTCCCACTTCTAGCAATGCTGCAACCAATGAGCTACAATAAACACATCCTTTCAAATGTATTGAGACATAGCTGCAGAGTGAAATCCTAGGAGAACTGCAGGGTATAGAGTACGTGGTGCTGTCATCCATAGGGACACTGCAACAATTGGCTCTCACAGCAGCAACTTAGGAGCCTGTCTGGTTCCCACGCTTCGGCCAATCACTATGTGCTATCAACTCGCACAGTCTTGCCAATGTGACAGTTGCACATGGAATTTGGACAGTGTTAATTTGCACTTCTCTTATTAAAAGAAGCCTGGTTATCTTTTCATACGTTTAAAAGTTATTCATACTGCCTCTTGTAGGAGATTTTTGTTTGTATTCCTTGTCCAAGTTGTTGGTCTTTTTCTTATTGGTTTATATGAGTTCTTTGTAGATTAAAGAAATAGGCCTTTAACTGTGGTATGAATTTAAGACGTTTCCTCTCCCAGTTGTCATCTGTATCTTAACTTTGCTTATAGTGATTTTTGCCTCACAAGGTTTATTTGTTTGGTTTTTAATGTAGTCAAATAGATCCTATTTTTCCCCTTTACGGCTTCTGGGTTTTATTCACCCAGCCAGTTCTTTTTGGAAGCATATCAGGATACTCTCCCTGGAGCCAGCAATGCTGAACATATTTTTTAATCCAAGTTTTTAATTTTTGAATTAAAACTTTATAAAATTGTTAACATGATATCTTCTTCAGAATAGTTCATTACAATCAAGATAGGTATTGCAGATGGGTCCTGCTTGGCAGGAAAGTGGTAAGGATCAAAATATTCAGAACGTGGTGGGCCCAGGACTCCTAGGGGCTGAGATCAGGCTTTGAGGAAGGGCCCAGGAAAAGATGCCTCGGGGTCTTAGTATGAGAACAGCCTCTCCTCCCCAACCTTTCTTCCCCTTGCAAATAGAAAAAGTAACAATAAAATAGGAAATGCTAAGTTCACTTTCTTTGACATAAAACCCTCACTATTTCTCCAGAAGTATTATGCAAAGGCAGCAATGCCCTCTGGGGGCTTTCAGAATTTCAAATGCTCTCTTTTTTATTGCACTGCACATTACCTGACTGGAGGGTGAATGATAAACTCGGTATCTGAGGAAGAAGTTCACCAGTTTATATAAGTCGTCCTCACTTTCAATTCCAAGGGCCTAGGGGAAAATAGGAGAATTGCTCAAACATCACAGACTTCTTCCGAGAGTTAAGAGACCCTCACCTCCTAAGAGCAGGAGGTTGGCTTGTTCCCCTGAACATCCCCAGCACCTGCCATGGCCCAGAGTGAGGCCGCTCAACACCTGGGAAGTGCAGTGAGATCATATCCTAGCAGAGAAACAATGCTTGGAGTCAGGAACAGCTCCACACAGGTCTGGTGGTATGGGAATGCTAGAATAGGCTGGACATACATCCAGGTTTCAGGGTGTCGGGAAGAATCTAGAGTCTGAGAGCTGGGCCATGAGAGAGAAGCTGGTAGAGGAAGGGTCAGGGCTGGGAGACAGCTAAACGACTCTGTGGCCAATTTGTGACATGGAGAACAAGGTGACAGAGAACCCAGGGAAACCGGGAAGACCTACATCTACTCCCAGGGCCAAGGCAATGTTGGAAAAACAGAGGAGGCTGGCTTAGAATGAGGCTAACTCAGCCCAGTGGGACTCACTGAGAAGATGGCATCCAACTTCAGCAGATAGCATTCATTCTTCTCCAGGGGAAGGAGAAGGCTCAGCAGCTTGCTCTCTATGAGGAAACCCTGAGAAGGAAGATGACAGAGACAGGTTTCGAAACGAGTGCTGGGTCTGCAGCCTACCTCTGTCTAACTAGCCCGCGATGACCCTGCGGAGCAGGACCCCACAAAGCAGAGACTTTCAGCAGCAGGGCCTCCAGAGGAAGTCCTTCCTGGGATGCCCAAGAGCCCTTCCTGGGGATAAAGCCAATGTTCGTCATGGATTTAGTTTCCCTACCTCCGAAAGGTGCTGGCTCACCTCACCCACAAGCCACTGGGTAAACACCTGAGTTCCCCAGAGCAGCCCAGATCCGATTCAGTCACAGATCGCTGCCTGTGCAATGTAATTTCACTCATAGGCTAGCCCTCAAATATCATCAAACAGGGCAGCAGGCACTGAGTTGGGAGGGAGGCGTGGAGGGTGAGGGACACACCATATCACAACACAGTGCGCATGGGGGGCAGATGGGAAGACTGAGTGCCCGACACCCACTCCAAGCTGGGAACTCCTGGGGGAGGTCAGCATGGAGGGGTGGCCACTGGCAGCAAGCCTGCAAATAGAGAGAGGAACACCTGCCTGCTGCCTCTCTCAGCAGGAGCTGCCCTCAGGGGCAAGAGCCAGCTCTTGGCCAAAGAAAACTCTCAAAGGGGTGAGGGGCTGCCAGCCCTTGCTGCACCTCCTCTACATATCTCAGAAACGCAGGATCTAAGTAAACATCAATTGTGTTCCTATAACACCCCAACTCCCAGCTGAGCCAGCTCCAATGCCTTTACACTAAATCTAGTGGGTTTTGCTAATATACAGTACAGATACCCAAAGCCTCACACCCCCAGAGTAATCACAGATTGAGCTCCCAGAATAAGGCCATGTCAGCTGTGGCCACACTACTGGGCAGGTGGGTTCACAGAGGTGAGACTGGCACCTCTTCTCTTGCAGAATGGGCTTCTTTAAAAACTAATAATAATTAGCAGGATCCCGTGGGCCAATTTGGCCCACACCTTGCTGACCCACTAAGGGATGACCCATTTGCCAGCTGTGGGCTGCTCTGAGGCAGGGTCTCTCTGTGAGGGAACCCTGCTCTGCTGCTGAATGCCTGGGCACTCCTGCCTCCAGGCCACATCTGGCCTGGCCAGACATAGCAGCAGCAGCAGCACACAAGAAGCAAGGACAGAGAGTTTGCAAAGCCACCAGCCAGAAGTCCCCCTGGCACAGCCCCACTTAGCTGGCCTCACCGACTCGTCACACAGGAGCATCAGGATCTTTCTGGTAGTTTTTGCGGAAATTTGCTTCGGTAGGTCAAGGTAAGACTCTGCTTCTGAGGCAGCCTCCTCTGTCCCTTCCTCTTCTGCAGACAGGGCAAAGAAAAGAGAGAGTGGGAGGGAAAAAGAAAATTATTGCTTGGCTCTGTTGACTTTGAGCAACAGTCAAAGGGCTTTCCTTGAGAAAATTTACTTCTTAAAATGCCTCCTTAAGGCCCTATGGAGTCTCCTCAGCTGAAGAAAGCCAAGTACGTGGGGAAAACAGGGAGGCTGGGGGTCGCTGGAGAGGAGGATGAGAAATCTGCCATTCTAGGATATTTCGCTGGTCAAAATTTCATCTCGTTGCCAACAACACACTCAAAATCCAGCCATGGCCAGGAAGTGGAAGGGAGAGGATGAACCTATTTATTCTCACTTTAGAAAAATCTAGCACATCTAGCTACATGCTTTCTAAACCACCAGTAGATCAGAAGCAGCCAACTAAACTGTGTACCAAGTGGTAGCCTCACTTCTCAGCAAGAGCTGTTGACTAATAGCAGAGCTGAACATTTTCTTGACTAAAATTAGAAATTTAAAGATGTGGGGATCCCTGGGTGGCTCAGCGGTTTAACGCCTGCCTTCAGCCCAGGGTGTGATCCTGGGGTCTGGGATCGAGTCCCACATCAGGCTCCCTGCATGGAGCCTGCTTCTCCCTCTGCCTGTGTCCCTGCCTCTCTCTCTCTCATGAATAAATAAATAAATAAAATATTTAAAAAAAAAGAAATTTAAAGATGTTTTATACTATACATTTCCTCATCTGAAAATAGTTATAAAAATCATTGTACTACCAGGTTTTACTAGTTGTTCAAAAGATAAAATGAGATCATATAAATGAAGATATTTTGAAAAGTACAAGATACCATCCTGCTGGTGGAAATGCAAAATGGTCCCATCCTTATGGAGCAATATCCAGCAAAATTACAGAGGCATTTACCCTTTGATCCACCAGTCCTACTTTTAAGGGTCTATCCCAACAATTCGCTAGGAAAAATATACAAACACGAATGCGTAGAGCTATTTATTGCAGCAATGTTTGTAATAGCAAAAACAAACAAACAAAAACCTGGAAATATCCCAAGTAGCCACCAACAAACACTATCCGAAAATGTTGTAGCATGGCCACACAACAGAATGCCAAATAAAAATAGCATGAAGAATATTCCTTCTCACTGCTATAGACTGATCTCCAGGATACTTTGTAAGTGAAAAAAAAACAAGATGGAGAAAAGCATATGCTCTCATTTTAAAAGGAGGTCTATATATACAAATATATACACACATTTGTTTTTAAAAGCAATGGAAAGATAAACTATACATTATTAAATAGTTACCTATAGGAGAGGGATAAAATAGAATGGAGAGGATAAGACTACACTTCCACCAATATACCTTGTTTTGTACATTTGGCTTTGGAAACGTAATTATTTTACATAACTATAAAACAAAATTAAATTGTAAAAATCAATGCCTAACAATCAAAAGTAAAACAAAAAGATCTAAATATGTATTCAGTTGGTGACATAACCAAATAGAAACTATTCTCTTTTTTTTTTCAAAGATTTTATTTATTTATTCATGAGAAACACAGAGAGGCAGAGACAAAGGCAGAGGGAGAAGCAGGCTCCCTGTGGGGAGCTCAATGTGGGACTCAATCCCAGGACCCCTGAGCCAAAGGCAGACACTCAACCACTGAGCCATTCAGATGCCCCAAATAGAAACTTTTCCAAGTGACTTTAAAAGACACCAATCTGGGGAAGCCTAGGTGACTCAGTTGGCTAAGCATCTGACTCTTGGTTTCAACACAGGTCATGATCTCAGGGTCATGAGATGGAGCCCCAAGCCCTGCGTCCAGCTCTGTGCTTAGCACAGGGTCTGCTTGTCCCTCCCCTTCTGCTCCTCCTCTGGCGTACTCTCTTCCCCTCTCTCTCTCAAATAAATAAATAAAATCCATAAATAAATGAATGAATGAATGAATGAATGAATGAATGACAGCAATCTGTGTGTACATCCCTAGTGGAATGTACCCTAAGAGTAAAATGAACTTCAGAAAGGTTTAAACATTTGTTAGTAATCATTTATTAATAACAGGTTGATATTTTATTCTGCAACTGTTCTGTGGTTCTGGGAAAAGCAATGAATAATTATCTCGAAATGCACCAAGATTTTCAAGTTAGGAGAGAGGAGATATACTTTGATAAGGTTAAGTAAAACCTCTGGCATTCTGATGATTAGGAAGTGTTAGGATAAACACATGATTTATTTTTTCATGAAAATGTAATTCAAAAAAAAAAACAAAAAAAAAAAAAGAAAATGTACTTCTACACACTATACTCATCCACTAGGAAGGCCTAGAAACTGACCCATCCCCAACAATGAGCACTCCAGCTCCCAGACGATGGTTTCAAAATACCATTCATTATTTAAAAGGACTAGGTTTTCTTGACCTTGAGAAATGGCTGATTACAGACTTGAAGCAGGAAACATATAAGATTGGAACATCTGTTCATTCTGGAAACCCAGGAAACTATCAGCAACGACTAAGGTTGTGTCGAAAGGACCCAGAAGCCAACATGAAGAGACTCTCATTGGCCAAAAATGGGACAATTAGAGTATCAGTAAGGTTAATAAGTGCAGTAAACTGAAACACATCAAACTTGTTTAAATCCAATGTGTTCATAATGATATTTTTAAAAGACTGATTGATTGATTTGAAAGAGGTGGGGGTGGATGCAGGGAGAGACTCAAGCAGATTCCGTGCTGAGCACAGAGCTCCATGCAGGGCTCGATCTCACAACACTGAGATGACAACCTGAGCCGAAACCAAGAGACGGATGCTTAACCAACTGCATCACTGATGTGCCCCATGATATTTGTTTTATAAAATGTCACTAGTCACCTTTAGAAGATGCTAGAGACCAGCCCATTTATTTTGATAACTAGTAAATAGAGAAAGAACAGCATCTATCCTGTTTTTCCTACATGAAGTGTGTCTCAGGGTAACAAATAGCTGATGAGGGGGAATATTCTCTTTTCAGAAGTGTTCCAGCTAATAAATGAAGACATGTGATAGAATTTAGAATATCACCATTTTGCAACCCCTAAGGCAATTAATGGATCTTAAACAATGACTACCAGTGGTTGCTAACCTCACAAAAAGAGAGACAACCAACCTGACATTAGTTTATCCCAATGGAGGTACACAACAATGTACTTAGTGAAACTAAACTGAACCAGAATTTGATCAAGTTTCTAGATCAAACTACCAGATTATAATACAGGGAAGAGGATAAAGCTATAAATTATATTAGAGAGTTAAAAGCCATGCTATGGACCTCCCAGCTACCAGACTTCTTCCACCTTCTCTGGACTTCAGTTTGCTCATCTTTGAAATGAATGGGTTGCCACAGTGGTCTTACAGGCCCCCAGCCCCCAGGTCTAGGACATCATTTCAGTCACCTGTTTGCATCAGCACCTCTTCTAATATTTGTGTGGCAGACTTCTGCTGCTGTTGAGATATAGGTCCCACATTCCTCAGGAACCAGAAATCAGGCGCCGTCCATGGGAGTCCCAGATGATGGGTATGGATGATCCTGTCTACATCAAAGGCTCTACTTATCAGATCCTTTGCCTCCTCTTCATTCATCAGCCAAATCTCCCGAAACTGCTTGTCATCGATAAGAGCAAAATGCCTGTGATGGAGAGTTGCTCAGCATGGCCAGGGTACCCTGGGGGCCTGGCCAGGGTCCCCTCCATTAGCAGTAGGGCAAGAACTGAGGTGGAGCTGTGGTGCATCCCGGGTCTGGCCTCCAGGCCTCACCTGTGACAGGCTGAAGGCCATCCCCACACGTCTCAAGAAAAGGCAGATGACATGCAAGTAAAGGGGCGGAGAAGACAGCACAAAGGACTCTTAGTGTCTGGGCCCACCTCTATTTAGGGCAAGACCCTTGGGACCCAGGTCCCTAAAATACCTCATGGCTTTCTGTAGCTCCTTGAATTGCATCACAAGGCGTTTGTAGTCAGAGGTTAGTGACTGGTTCTCCTCCTGGAACTGCTTGATCTGTTTGGCATATTTTGATCTCAGATTGTTAAGGGTATCATGTAGACTGTGGAGCAGAGGGGGAAAGAGTTCTTCTGTCACTGAATAGAAGCTGTGGTGTATGTTCCTCTCAAGTACTTCACACCATTCTACAGAACGGTGGGTCAGATTTGTGCAGTTGCAGAAAACCCTCCCATTTATTTCCAAAACCAGGCTGCTCCAATTGTGATGGAGAGGAAAGGAAGGCCACGGGAGGTAAGGGTGTCGTCCAGAACTAAACTCATTTACAAGAGTCCAGAAGCCCTGAACCACAGGAAAGGCCATCTCCTCCTCAGGAGCATGACTAAATCTCCCTCAACACACCATCTGTGAGCGTGTCCCTACTGAGTGCCACCTCACATATTTAAAGAGCGAATCTCAACTATCTCACTGATGTGAACTGGATGTTCATTTCACTTCTAATACAAGGAAAATAGAAAGGAAAAAATGAAAACTTGACCCCACAAGTCTATGATATATACTGTTCGGGAGTCCGATAGCTCATTCATTCATTCCCTCATTCATCAAACATGGAAGGTCTCTTGTGTGTCAGGGCTATGTTTGAATACAGAGATGAAAACAAGGATATGTTCCAACACAAGGCACTATCAGTCCAGCCAGAGGCAAAGATTCACGCTCAGTAGAGCATGAAAGCGCTGTGGGGGCAGTTCACATAGGAGTCCAGAGGTGAGGCATGGAACTTACCGTGGCCTGCAGGTGGGGGGAGTGGCTGAAAGTTTCAGCACAGTGAGGGGCAGTGATAGCCTGGCCAATGGCTCTGTGAGTCTAGGCATGTCACAGCTCCACATCTCACTGTCCTGGGAGCTCTGTGCATGGAAACTTGTCTCACGAAAATGCATGGCAGGCACGGCTATTAGACCCACAACCATACTTCAGAGTTCAAACCAGTGAAGAGGCGTCTTATGTCAGTGCCTCCTTTACATAGGAATGGAGAGTCTGAAGGCCTACATACTGTCCATTTAAAAATTCTAAAGATAAAATTTTCCCTTTCAAGCATTATTCTGAAATAAGCATAAGGTCCCTAAACACACAAACATCCATCCTTTGTGTTTTCAGCCTCAATAAAATGCAAAAATCATTTAACTTAGACTCTGATAAAAAGCAATATCTAATTCATTTTCTTAACTACAGCATTCTAGGACATTTTCCACATATAGATGTAAAAAATTTTATTAAGTAGCCATCCCAAAGTATTTTTCCCAGCATCCCTTAGTAAAGAGGTTTCTATGTGTCATCTAACCACAGAAGCTAATAAAAAAATAATAATAAACTCCAGGCACACGCTGCAGGTCTAGGCAAGGTAGCAAGATAGGGGGTGGACAGGAAGAGATGGTTGCAAGGGGAGGCTCGACAAAACATCATGTCCTTGTTGACTGGCTGGAAACTAGAGATGGAGGGGACAGAGGTGGAGGATGGGAAAACTGGGAGGGTAGGCAAGCCTGGTTTCAAAACTTGTCCACTGGCAATGACAGGGACTCTATAAGCTGAAATGTCTTTTGGCAGTCCCAGATAAAATGAGGAGGTGAGGTTGGGATCAGGGATTTGCAGCTGGGAGTCATCGAGAAAGAGGTCAGGGGTGCCTGGGTGGCTCAGCTGGTTAAGCCTCTGCCTTCGGCTCAGGTCGTGATCCCAGGGTCCTAGGATTGAGCACCATGTTGGGCTCCCAGCTCAATGGAGAATCTGCTTCTCCCTTACCCTCTCCCTCTGCCTCTACCCCTCCCCATTCCCCCGCTCATGCTCTCTCTTTCTCAAATAAATAAATAAATAAATAAATAAATATAATCTTAAAAAAAAAGCAGTTATATGCAAAGCCATGAGACTGGTATAGATGGTGGATGGGATAAAAATATAAAGGAGTAAGGCGCTTTCTAGAATATAGAATCAGGTAAGAGAAAGCAGAACCACCAAAGGAAACCAATTAGCAATGCATTGAAAGAAGAGCAAATATTTCAGTCATAAAAGTCCAAGGAAAAATATTCTGAGATTCGGTGCCAGTAACCACAGGATGAGGCCTGAGGAAGAGCTGTGGTATGTGGCTAGAAGGATATCACTGGTCACCTCCATAGGGAAGTGGTTGTCCAATTTCGGGGTCAGGGGTCAAATTATGAGCACTGGAGGTGAGGGACCAGCCAGTAGGGAGAGGAAAAGGGCCAGATAAGCAAGGAGAGAGAGAGCCCTCACATAGGAGCAGCAGGGTCGACTGAGGGCTTTTCAGGGTAAGGGAAACTGTGCATGCGTGAAGTCAGAGGGGAGCCCCAGGGAAGGGATGATAGGGATGATGCCACTCACCTTCCTGCCCCTGGGATCAAACCCAAGGTCAGTCTCACGTACCTCTGCCCACTGCTGGTCCTACCACCCTCCTCTCTCTCACAGTGCAGTCCCTGTCAGCAAATGAGGAACCTTCGGCTTCCTGCTTCCTCGCCTTCAGACCAGCCCTTCACTCCTGGCTCTGGCACCCTGGAGTCCTAACTCTTTTTTACCGATTCATATCCCTCCTCCACTTCATTATTTCACTTCCTCAGGAAACCTTCTCAGAGAACTCCTTCTCACTGACAGCACAGATTTGTGGTTTTGTGGTTGTCGTAGATGGGTGAAGAGAGGGAGCGAGAGAAAGGAGAGATCCAGAGAGATACACGCCAAACAATCTCTGGTGGTAGGAATATGCTGTTTTTATGTTTCTATCTTACTTCCAGTTGTACTTCCTACTTCTCAAAAATGCTCACATACTGTTTCTGTAATCACAAGCTGAGAATTTATTCTACAGACGGCCCCGCGCCTGTGCAAAGTGAGACACTTGGCATGAGTACCTACATTGGCATCATTTGCAACAGCAAAAGATTAGAAGCGATCTAAATGCCCAACCACAGGGAAATCATGTGAGAGCTCTTTATGAACCGATATGGAAACATTCAAGACACAGGACAGTGTGTATAGAATGCTGTCATTTAGTCTAAAAAGAGAGGGGAGTGGGGACAGTATTTATTCATGTTTGCTTGTAATGTGGTTAAAGAAATTCAAGAAGAAGCAAAAGAAATGAACAATTATTACAGAGGTGGAAAAGAGGAACCATGCAAAATAGGGGGTGGGAGACAGACTTTTTGTTGTACATTCTTTGGGGGCGGGAAAAGGATTATCTTTTCTAAAAAAACTCTTTTAAGAAGACTTTTTTAACAGCTTGCACTCCTCCAGAAGGGGAGAGTTCATCCCCACCCCCATTTTCAGCATGGAAGGGCTGATGTTCTGTGTGCCCGCTTACCGATTTATCTTCCTCTTCTGCTGAGATTTGATCACTGTGCTCTCTTCATCCCTCTTCTTCAGCACCTGGAAGTTGTACTCCAACTTCTCTTGGTTTAGCTGGTAAGTTGCTTTCATCTGCTGGAGCTGCTGCTCAAGAATCTAAAGTTTAATAACAATAATAATAATAATAATAATAATAATAATACTCACAGGCCTGGTATCCTTAGTTGTGCCTGAGCGTCCCTGATTCTTCCTACTGGCATCAGTTGTATCAGAGGAATCAGAGGCACAAGTGCCTCCACCTGAATTCTTAGAAAATCTGTCATCAGAGGCAAATGAAAGACAACAAGAAAAAATATCCACCGTTCAACTGCAAGCTTAAAGCCAATGTCCCTGAGGCACCTGGGTGGCTCAGTGGTTGAGCATCTACTTTTGGCTCAGGTGTGGTCCCAGGGTCCTGGGATTGTAGGAAATGTGAAAAGTACAGTAAAGGAGAAAAGAGGAGAAGACATAGAAAGGGCAAGAAGAATTATTTAAACTCCACCTCCAAGAGGCATTTTCTGTCAACATATTGGCATGTTTCCTTCCAGTGTTCTTTACATACTGAGATCAAACCATAGCTACAATTTTATATTCCACTTTTCTCCCTTAATATTATAACAAAAAATATTATAACAAGAATTTTCCACATTAGCTCTATCAATGTAATTTTAATGGTGTATAATACTTTTACATATAATAACTTATCATATATGAAATACTTATCATCCACCATACTATTTTATCATTTCCCTACCATTGTACATCTAGATTGTTTTGAGAATTCTCAATATCAGAAAACAGACGCTGGGAACAATCCTACATAAAACTTCCTGGGTATTTTTATTTCCTAAAGGTAGATTCTCAGAAGTAGACCAGGGACCTCCTTTTTCTCATAGCTTTGCAATAAGCCCCTATTACTAAGACAGCATTTCCCAAACCTGTCTGGCCACAGAACAGGTTTTATATTTATAACAAAGTGAGAGCACGTGAGTTACAAATGCAAGCCCTGGCACATGTTCATGCAAATTTCATTCTTGAAGGCAGATTATTATATAACACTAACTATGGAAATAGACTCTCTATTTTTCCTACATAATCACATCTTGAAAGGGGGAAAAAAAATCAGTGACTCACTTTGTTAGTTTTGTGAAACCACCACTAGTACCTCACCTAGTTGAACACAGTTTGCAAAACTCAACTAATTAGGCCGTGTCTTTTTCTTTGGGACCTGAAAGAACTCACATCTGAGCTGATTTTATATGCAAAACAACAAACAAAGAAACTCTGTCACCTGGCTCTTCGCATTTGCATTTCTTTGCCTGTGCTTGTGGTTAATTATTTATTAACTGATTTTATTTTCTCTTGTGGAATGCACCTGCTCCTACTCTTTGCTAAAATAGGTTCCTAGGAGACTGACACATGGAAGGACTAGCAATGCAACGTGCACTGTGGGCTCACCATCTCTATGGGATCACGGATCAGCCACTCCATCACCTCAGCTCTGATCCAAGAACCACCCCCCGCTGCCTCCGCAGTCACGATGCCACTAGGGATTTATTGGCAGCGCTGACAATGAAATTGCAGAACTAATAGTCTGCAGCAGACAGCTGCATGAATTATGTGATTCGTTATTTGTTGTCAACACCTTCTGCTCCAGATAATTTGGGGAATGGTGACTCTATTGTTAACTATTTCAGGGTTAAGTCTCAACAGACAACTGTCCTTGGTTGTCATACACTGAAGGTAGTTTTTTAAATTTTTTTTTTTTTTTTAGAATATTATCCTTGTGGATGGCTGACATATTCCATTTACTTTATTTTATTTTTATTTTTAATTTTTATTTATTTATGATAGTCACATTGAATGAGAGAGAGAGAGGCAGAGACACAGGCAGAGGGAGAAGCAGGCTCCATGCACCGGGAGCCCGATGTGGGATTCGATCCCGGGTCTCCAGGATCACGCCCTGGGCCAAAGGCAGGCGCCAAACCGCTGCGCCACCCAGGGATCCCAGTTTTTTAAATTTTAAGATTGTAATGGATTTTGTTAACCGTCTGTGCTTATTCTTCAATTTTCCAAAGATATTTTTGTGAAGTTGTACTTTACGTTCCCAAGATTCATGGTAAAACATCATGTTTGGGTTTTGTGAATAATTTATAAAGATTACAATCTATCTTGCCTCCGATGTTATGGTTACTGTAGGTGTTGATCACACCTTCCTGTTTTTCCTGCATCAGTACAAGCCTCTCCATGCTACCTGCCCACATGCTCCAGAAAACCAGTTGCCATCATCCCCCAGACAGAAAGGAAAATTAAAACAGCCTTTCCCCTGGCCCTGTGGGCTGACCTCAGAGATCCCACCAGGCCTTTTCACGGCCACTCTCAAGAACTGTATCTTGTTTATCTTTGTGTTTTACACAATGTAAGTTTGCAATACTTGTTAAATAAGTAACTTGGTTTTGATTTTTTGTGATTAATATTCTGGTAGTAAAGGTAACAGTCCCTAAAAGTTGAGCTAAACCATTTTACAACTTTAAAAGCACAAGTAGGACCTAAAATAAAAACACTGGCTTCCTGCATCAAGAACTAAGTGTTTCTAGTAGTTTTATTTTGGGGTGGTGGGCCGGTGTGGCTAAATCCTTCTCGAATGCCTAACGTTTACAGGCTTCTTTTTGCTCGTTAATAATGTCACCTTACTGGCAGTAAGCACTTGGAAAGTATGCATTCTTTTCCACTTTTTATACTTTACCCATCAAACCAAATCTATGTGTATTGGATCCTTCATATTTTTGTGGTTTGGAAAAATTTTAGTTGCATGTTTTAGAACTGATACAGTGCTATGAATTACTTAGGAAGAGAAAGCCTGATGTTGAGCTACATTCTTTATCTTCTTGACAAAAATTGATGCTATTTTGACTTTACTGTCTAGTGAGAGTACACCTAAGTGGCATTATGATAAAGTTCGATCTACTAAAATACCCAATGGACTGCAATATGGTAATCCCTGATTTGATTATCTGTTTCTAGTTAAATGTGGTACAGTATACTCCTGGTTTCCATTCTAACACAGGAAAGAACCATTGCGCACAGGAACTGCACACAGTTCCCCACTCTGAGTATCTCTGTCTGCCTGCCTCCCACATACTCATACTCCAACTGGGCAAAGGAAGCCAGGAGATGAGGGTCTCCCAGGCTCTCTACCTCTCTGTCCCTCAACTCCCTAGTCTTACATCAGCCCTCACCCTCAAAAATCTCCCTATATCCCAGAATTTTTTGGCTTTCTTCAAGCATTTGAGGATTAAATTAAGAACATGAAATTCTACTCCTACAACTTAATAGCAAAATAAATAAATAAATGACTGATTAGAAGGACATACAAATTGCCAATAGATTTATGAAAAGGGACACTATTTATTAGGGAAATGCAAACCAAAACTACGATGAGATACCACCTCACACCTCTTAGGATATCTATTGTCAAAAACCTGGGTGGCTCAGTGGTTGAGCATCTGCCTTCGGCTCAGGGCGTGAATCCCAGGACCTCCTCACAGGAGCCTGCTTCTTCCTCTGCCTATGTCTCTGCCTCTTTCTCTGTGTCTCTCATGAATAAATAAATTAAATCTTAAAAAAAAAAATGACTACAAGTGCAGGCAAGGATATGGAGAAGGGAATTTCATGCGCTGTTGGTGGGAATGCAAACTGATGCAGCCACTCTGGAAACAATATGGAGGTTCCTCAAATGATAAAATATAAAACTATCGTTTGTTCCAATAGTCCCACTTCTGGATACAGATCCAAAGGTACTGAGATCTGGATCTTGAAGAGATGTCTGTACTCCCATGCTCATTGTGAAATAGTCACAACAGTCAAGATATAGAAACACCTAAATGTCCATTGATGGACTAATGGAGAATGAAAATGTGGTATAGGTATATTATGAAATCTTAGCCTTAAAAAAGGACAATCTGCCATTTGCAACAACATGGATGGACATGGAGGACATTATACTAAGTGAGATAAGCCAGACACAAAAAGACAAATACTGCATGGTCTCTCACTTGTTTTTGGGATCTAGAACAATCAAACTCATAGGAGCGGAGAGTAGATTTTGCAACCAGAAGCTGCCAGGGGCTGGGGGAGGGGAAGCGGGGAGGTGTTGGTCAAAGGGCACAGAGTTTCAGTTACATGGAATGAATAAGTTCTAGGGATCTAACTGTACAACAGAAGGTCTTTGAGTGACAATGCTGTTATTGTATATTTGAAAATTTGTTAAGAGAGTAGATCTTATATTACATGCTCTTAACACAAAAGGAAAAACAAAACAACAAATAAAAGAAAATGAGTTTCCATTATTTCACTGTTTGAGGCCAATAGTGCATAGTTTGGTCCCATAAATTATCATACAACCAAAATAACTTAAGAAAGATCAACAATAGCCATTTTCATTAAAAGTGTAATGTATACAGCCCACATAAGCAGCGCTGCCCTTACAGACTTCCACTGTTCTTTGTCAGTGATTCTCATTTCCATGACATTAATATGAGAAAGGCCCAGGAAAATTATCAAGACTGGTAAGAATATTTGTAGTCTGGAGGGGCTTTAATTCAACCTTGCTACATAAAACCACAAGTCACAGGTCTTGAAATTCTACGAAAGGCTATGTGGAAAAGCTTTAGACTAACAAGTTTTTCTAGACAGAAACTGAAGTGAGTAGACAGTGCTGGAATATTAAGAGATAATTACATGACACCTAAATGTAATTAGAGATGAGCTTTTTTTAACTGACTTTGAGGCAGAGAATCCTAAGCTTGGAAAGAACTTTACAAACCAGAAAATCTAACCTCCTTCCACTGCAAGAATCCTTCCTCAGCATTGAAGACAGACACAGTCATGCAGCCTTTAAATACTTTATAAAAGACTCATTATTTTGTGGGATGACCCTTCTCTATATTGGATAGCTCTAACTATTAGAAAGTTCCTGCTGGGGCACGTGGGTGGCCCAGTTGGTTAAGCGTCTGACTCTTGGTTTCAGCTCAGGTCATGATCTCAGGGTTGTGAGATGGAGCCCCATGTTGGGCCTTGTGCTCAACAGGGAGTCTGCTTGAGATACTCTCTTCTTCTCTCTCTCTGCCCCACCAGAGCTCTCTCTCTCTCTCTCTCTCTCAAATCAGTAAATCTTAAAAAAAAAAAAAAAAAGAAAGAAAAAAAGTTATTTCTGATGGCAAGTTGGAATCAGCCTTACTGTGATGTCCAATCATCAGCCAGGGTCTGCTTGGAATATTAGGAATATAGACTATTGAGCCAGACAGAGCTGGGTTTAAATCCAGGGCCTACCATTTGCCAGGTAAGTAGCCTATTTCCTGGTATATAAAATGTGGTCAGTGATTCCTCCCTTCCCTGTTAGCATGAGGATTGGAGACACCGTGCCTTAAGTGCCTAGACACTCACTATATGGTAGCTGTTCTGCTTTGGCTCTCTGATACACTTAACTCACCCTGGGGATACCTTCCCTTTACCCAACTAAAATGTCCAATCCTCTCAATGATTCCTCAGGTCACAGTTTCCTGGGGGTTTTTTTGGCAGTTCTTCATGGTTTATTAAAAAAGGAATTCCTCCACATTTATTTTGTACATGAGCTCCTTCAGATATGATCACTTGAAAGCAAGCAGATAATGAATACATATCTGTTGAGTGGACTAACTCTAGAACATTCTGGGCAGTCACCAAGGATAAAACATGCCCGGGTACTCTCTGCTCTGCTACCCAGAGACCGAGCAACAAGTCAGACCTGCACGTCTTGCTCCAGCTTGATCTTGATCATGTTGTACTCTTCCCAGTCCCATATCCTCTGCTTGTTCAGCTGTTTCTCGTAGTCCTCTACTTTCTTGATGCGGTTCATAAGATACTCCAGCTGAAGGCACAGGAAGACCAGGGGAAAGTCAGCCCTGTCCCTGCCCTGACTTCAGGTGGCATGACAAGTGTGACACAGGGAAGGATCTCAAAGTGTTATGAGTTCCTTAGCTCTCAGAAGAGAGCCCCAAGGCTTTGTATTGTTTATCTTCTTCTGGAGCTCCCTTATTTGAGAAACTCCAAGAGGAATGCTCCATTAAGAAATTAGACATGGGCCCTGCGGTCAGACATTTGTATTTCTAAAACAAAACAAAACAAAACCCATTGGATCTTGGTCAAGCTATTCTTTGTTCTTTGTGTCTCTGAAGTAAAGTGATAACCCCACACCCTTTGAAACATCTTAAAACATTCGTCGCTGGGGTAGATGCCTAGGAACAAAGAAGAGAGTGACAGGACTATGGGAACCCCAGTGAGCTGCAAAGGAAGGTCACCAGAGACAAATGTCACCACCAGAGGCAGCAGCCATCTGCAAGGCCACACTGACTAACCATGAAGTGAGGTAGTAAATGTCTGCCATGGCAATCCTCCCCAAGATACAAAAAGGCTAGCAAATTCAGTCACAGTAGATATTGCCCTAGATCCATGGATCACCTTGACACACCCCCACCCCCTCCACCACCCACCACCCTTTTACCTCTTTGGCATTGTGAGCCTGCAGGGCCCGCTCCCATTTCTTCTTATTACTGGTCAGCAGTTCTTGCCGTTCTATCTCAAATGCTTTCTAGGACCAAGAAGGAAGAGGGCTCTTGTGTCTGATTTGATTGGGCAGGTCCCACAGTATGAAAGAACTCCTAAGTTATTGCACAAGTGCCACGTACCAATCATATAGTCAAAGTCAAATCCAAATGCAAACTTGCCAAGTTTCATTCAACCAAATGGCTATGGAAGGAGTTACACGGAAATCTGGGTTATGAAGTCTGGCCTCCCCGCAGATTTAGAGAGGAAATGTGCCAACTGTCCTGTGGAGGAAGGCCAGTGGCTTTGGTAGCAGTTACAGGGCAAGCCCTGGCATATGATTCAATCATGCCTAGGGCTGCTGTGTTGCTATGGTTGGGGTTCCCACGAAACAAGGAGCACGTTGCTCATGAAAGGTAGGCCCGGGAATGTGGAAATGAGTCTATAATAATAATCCAGAGAGGTCCCCACCTTCTTGGCTCCCTTCCATTTTGGAAAGGCTGTCTCAATCTTAATCCTTGACATTTCATTCAAATTCAAAGTATGGATTCCTGAACTTGTTTGGCACTTGAGTTTCCCATGTCCCCACCTGTCTGCCATAAATACAACAAATAAAAGCTCACATACCCCCCTTCTCGACTCTTCTTATCCTTACATGGTTTTATTTTCTTTCAAAACACTTATTGCCACCTGTCCAAGTATATATTTAGTAGTTTATCTGTTTATTGTCTAGCTGTCTCCTGCTGGAATACAGATTCCATCGAGAACTTTGTTTTGTTCATGGCTGTATCCCCAGCCCCTGGTACAGTGCTTGGCACATAGTAGACACTTGATGAATATTTGTTGGGTGAGTGAATGAATGGGTAAATAAATTACAGGGCAGAAGCCAGATGACAAGACATCTGGGACCCTCTGTAGATGCTCTGGACAGACCTGGCCCTCCTCCCAGGGGCCCTACATGGGTAGAAGGCAGTTCTTTCACACCCTGTTACCTCAATGTAACTGAGCTCCTGACGAAAGGTTTTCATTACGTTCTTGACTTGTTCTTCCATCCTCTCTAGGAGCAGGCAAATGTCATCTGACTGTTTCTTCAAATCCTTCACATACTGGTCATCTTTTGTTTTTAACTCCTAGAAAAGAATACGTCAAAGGCTGGTCACAAACTGAGACAGAAGCAAGAAGTGTCAAGCATACTCCACCTGGACCTCTTTCTTCAGGACCCGCAAACACTGAAATTGCAACTATACAAAGCGAAAGTGGCTTCAGAAGAATCGGAGGACACCCAGGGAGAAGGCACAGGGAGATGGAGCAGAGTGGCCTCAGTCCGGGGCAAAGCCTGAAGGAGCAGCAGGAGGCCAAACCCTGCAGGACTACTTGCCCCAAGGCTCCTTGTACACTCCCAGACAGCCTAGGGCACCCCAGCTGAGCAATGACTAGTCAACATGGGAACATACCTACAGCAGACTAAACTCCATTGCTTAACTGAAAACATAAAATCTGAAACAGCATTTACTATGAACATCCATATTTCCAAGGTGACCAGTGATTCTAAAATTACTAAAACTTTTCCTTCAGGCTGAATTTATTGCTGTGCAATACTCTGAGGAATGAAGCTAGGCCTCCAATTTTCCCACTAAGGGGAGCAAACCAATAGGCCAGTCAGATGCCCCAGCCCTCAAGGCAGGGATGGCAGGGGCGGGGCCGGGAGTCTTGCCTGCTGTAACTCGCTGATAAGCTTATTCTTGTCTTCTATTAGCGCAGCGCAGTGCACTTGCTGGGTGCTAAGCACATCCCACAGGTCCTGGGGGATTCTCTTCTGTCTGCCCTCCTCCCACTTGGCGGTGATTTCATCAAATTTGTCCTGGCTGGTCTTGACTTCATTCTCCAGCTTTTCAAGTCTGCGAATAAAAACACACTGGCCAGGCCAGCCCAGTTCTGGATGCCGCCTCCTGCTGGAGTAGGGCAGGTTCTCAAGAGTCTGAAATACAAGGCCCAGGTAATGAGCACCACCTTCAGATGCCCTCACTCAAAACCATGCGGGGCTCTGAGAGATCTTTAAGCTTAATGACAGACTGGCAGTAAGGAGACGGAATAAATTAAGTGACACGGTACAAAAGCAAATCAACCTCAAAGCTATACCTACTTGGACGCGCACACACACATGCAGATCAAGAGTCAATTTGCCACCTACTTCTGTGACAAGCTAGATGACTCCAGTGATCGAGGCCTGACTTTGACTCTCAACTTTACTTACTGACTCTCAACTTTAGACAACTCCCTGACTCTCTGCAAGCTGCATTTCTCTCCTCTGTAAGAGGGAGAGGATGAAAGCATCTACTTTCAGATGGCTGCTGTCAGAGTTAAGTGAGATAATGCTCAGCACGGCAGTGCCTTATGAACACGGTACTCATAATATTTTTGGTGATCAACTTGAGTTCAGGTGTGTGGCCGCTCCTCCCCCAAATGATCAATAAATGACCATGGGGACATTTTACAAATAAGGAAACTCCACTATTAAGCAATGGAAAATCGGCATGGCCTTTCCAGAAATTCCAAAGAGACTCTGTGATGGAGTGAACTGAGGAGGGAGTACCAGACTGCTGAAGGGAGGCGTGAGGATGAGAGCCCCCTCCCAAGCATGGAGAACGCCTGCTAAGACAGATGCCGGGATTCTCTTCCTACCTGAATAGACTGTCATTCTAGGAGACTGCCTCCCAGCCAGAGCGCCAAGCCCTGCAGGGTAGGAGTCACCACTTAACCTCGAGCTCCCTTCTTTCCTTCTCGCTTCCCTTCCCAGCTGGAACACAGAGTACAGTTTATAATTCACTTGCCTTTTTACCTCAAAAAATGAAAAATGGACTGGTTATCTTCCTAAAGCCCACATTTATGCTGTAACTCTGCCATTTGAGAGCTTGGGTTTTTCCTCAGAGGTTCTGGAACAAGGCCTAACTCCTTGGTGTGCCTGGGAAATTAGCCCATTCGGTTCTGCGTACAGCCGTCAGCGGGCAGTGGGAAGTTGCAAGAATAAAGTCACCAATTGCGTACTGGTAAAGGTAGTAAAGATGCTGAAAGAATTACTTATGCTGAACAACTAAAAATACTGTTAATATCGTGCTGTTGAGGAGATAAGCTAAAATGGCTCAATGAGCTAATTGAGCTAAAGTGGGGGAACAACTAAAAATATTGTTAATATCGTGCTGTTACAGAAATGAGCTGAAATGGCCAAGTGAGGAAAGGGGGAAGGAGGGAGGAAGGCAAGGAAGGAAGGAAGGGATTCCTAAGGAGCAATCAGGGGATTCTACTAGAGTAAATGTGACACAGGCACCTTCCAAAAGGTGGGGAGGGTTGAGGGATCCACGGAAGAGATATCTTCCATCCCCCAGGCTGCAGAGCAGGGCTTCCTCACCTCTGCCGCTTTATCTCCTCTTCTTCCACTCTCCTGTGGATCTCTCTGATATCTGTAGCTACCTGGATGTTTGTCACCAACTCAGTGCCACAGAGCAGCAGTTTAGCCAATTTCTGAAAACAAGTAAGTTATGACGTTAGAGGGACGCCTGGGTGGCTCAGTCGGTTAAGTGTCTGCCTTTGGCTCAGGTCATGATCCCAGGGTCCTGGGATCGAACTCTGAGTTGGGCTTCCTGCTCAGCGGGCAGCCTGCTTCTCCCTTTCCCTCTGCCTCTCCCCTCGCTCATGTTCTCTCTCGCGCATTCACTCACTCTCACTCTCCAATAAATAAATAAAATCTTTTTTAAAAAAAGATTTTATGAAGTTAGAAACATTTTGTACAACTGTCTGTAGCTGTTCTAGCCAGCCAAGCGGGAATAAAAGCTTAAGACTCACTTAACAGTAGCCCGTATTTGGCAATTCATTCCCACCAGGGGATGTTGGCGATGTGATATCAGAGCTTACAATTTAATAGGACATGTGATTCTTTTTTTTTTTTTAAAGATTTTATTTATTTATTCATGACAGACACAGAGAGAGAGAGAGGCAGAGGGAGAAGCAGGCTCCATGCAGGGAGCTTGACATGGGACTCGATCCTGGGACTCCAGAATCACACCCTGGGCTGAAGGCAGCACTAAAATGCTGAGCCACCGGGGCTGCCCGCACATGTGATTCTGAAGGTACTTTGGTCTATTCTTGTTAGAATAGGGATCAGCCAAGCAGCACACTGGCAGGTACTCTAAGTACGTCTTGGCACTTGCCCCCATCGACCCTCCAAGTTGCTGACACCACCAAGAGCCTTTCTGAGAATTCAGTGGGTGAGATAGATGAGGCAGAGATAATGGCAATCATCCTCCAACATCCATTCCTCCTCCTCTTCTTCGAGGGTCAGAACCCCCAATTTTAACTGGACATTTGACCTTCCAAAATGGATATTACTCCCAAACCTCCTTTGCAGCTTGAATACAGTCTGATCAATAGAACATGAGCAGAAGTGATGTGTGCCACTTCTGAATTGTGTGTTGAAGGGAAAACGTGTGCCCTCTGCTGCCCCATGTCCCCCTTCTCCCAGGTGGGCTTGTGGTGCTCTGCTGTGACGCGGTGAGCAGATGAAAGCCACATAAGGAAAGGCAGAAGGAGATGAGGTTCCCCGGCATCGACGAGCCCCCATATCAGCCCTGGACAGTGTATGTATGCTCTGAACTACTAAGTAAGCCAGAGGTCAAAGCATCTGTGTTATTTAAGCTAACATTACATGGGCTCTTGGGTCTCCCTTAATGACTCAGCAGTTTTGCTATTGGCACCCCCCCCCTTCTAAATCCCTCCCTGGGGGCCTGTGGGTGGCTTAGTCAGTTAAGCGGCTACCTTCAGCTGAGGTTATGATCTCAAGGGCCTGGAATTGAGCCCCACATATCAAGCTCCCAGCTCAATGGCGAGTCTGCTTCTCCCTCTGCCCCTCCCTACCCCCACTCATGCACTCACGCTCTCCGATTTTCTCTGTCAAATAAATAAATAAATCCCTCTTTGAACCCCACACTCAAGTGTCTTCACTCCTGGCCTTTGGGTGATGACATGATTTCAACAAAAAGTTCAAGTATCCTGAGGCTATGTCTAAGTTTTTCCAAGTCTGTTTTGGAATTTACAAATTCTCCAGCTCTCAAATTGTTCCTGAACAAAGAAGCTATAAACATCTCTGTACAAAGGAGTCACTGAAATGATCAGAGATTCTATTTCATCTCACCCTTCTAAGGACATGTGGAAATGCAGTTTTAATGAATACAGAACTGGAGCCTTAACCCAGATATCCAGGGTACTCCAGACTTTTTTAAATGGCTATAGTTTTAGCACTTGTACCAAATGGTTTTACATGCCTAAGGATTTACTTCCTTTCCTGTCATATTTGAGTAATACTGTTTTCTGCTCAATGTGAACATCAGAAATTTCTGAATCAAGTATTTCAAACTCAGAGTAAAATTGAAAATATTACAGTCATCAACACACCAACACAGGAAAAGATAAAACTTCACTTTCAGATGATATGATTATATATGCAAAAAAATAAACACACAAACAAAAGAAACCACAGGACAACTATTAGAATTAACAAGTGAATTTGACAAAGTTGCTGATTATCAAGTCAATATACAAAAACCAATTGTACTTTTGTATATCACAATAAACACTTATAACCTCTACACAAAGTGTGAGACATTGCTGGGCAAAATTAAAGAATACGTAAATAAATGGAGGGATATTTTATACTCATGGATTGTAAATCTCATTGGTAAAAGATAGTCTCTCCTAAATTGATCTATAGGTTCAATTCGACCTCAAAGTTCCAGTAGGGGGTGCCTGGGTGGCTCATGGGTTAAGTGGTTGACTCTTGATTTCAGCTCAGGTCATGATCGCAGGATCTGGGATGGAGCTGGCAACAGGCTCCATGCTCAGCAGGGAGTCTACTTGAAGGTGCTCTCTCTCTCCCTATCCCCCTCCCCTCCACACACCCCCCACTCCTCTCTCTAAATATTAATAGATAGATAGATAGATATAGATAGATAGATAGATAGATAGATAGATAGATAGATGATAGATAGATAGATAAATAGATAGATACATTTTTAAATCCCAGCAAGCTTTTTGGTGGAAACTGACAAGCTGATTGTAAAGTTTATATGGAAATGCAAAGGGTCGAGGATAGCCAAGGCAATCCTGAAGAACCACAAAATTAAAGGATCTACGCTACCAGATGTCAATACCTGTCATAAGGCCACAGCAACTAAAATAGTATGGAATTGGTGTAAAGTCAGAGAAACAGACCAATAGAACAGAATAGAGAATCTAGAAACAAATCAACATATGGGATCATTTGATTCACAACAAAGGTTTGTTGCAGTGCAGTGGGGAAAGGATGATCTTTTCAATAAACGGTGCCAGGTCAATTAAAAATCCACATACAAAGCAGTGAATCTTAAGCCTTACCTTTACACCACACACAAAAATCAATTCGAGATAGATTACAGAGCGAAATATAAGTGACAGAACAATAAAGCTTCTAAGAGAAAACTTAGAAGAGTATCTTTATAAAATTGGAGCAAGATTCAATAGGAAACGAATCACCAATTTAAAAATGATTGATCAGGTGTAGGGCCAAGGACAGTGGCCCTTTCTGTCCAAGTCTTAGGGTACAACTGATTATTAATATCTTGATATTGAGGAAGGTAAGCATTTGGTTTGTATATATTTCTTTTCCATGCCAACAATTTATGCATCCTAAATGAAAGGAAGCTCGAAAAGCTCCTATGAAAACAACATTATCTCGTTGGAGCAACTCAATGAGTGCTCCAGATAAACTATGTATCAGAATTTTCAAGACCACAGCAGTGGAAACTATAACAGTAGGTTTTAGATTATATACACTATCTTTTTTATCCTACCCAGCAATGCTCAGAGATCATTGACACTTTGAGGAAGTAATCCCAGTACAGACAGATGGCATGATTCGTCTACTTCACAGTGAGCCCCAGATCTGGACCAAGAACACACTGCAGCTCAGTACTTTTTCCGCCTCCATAAAGTATCTTGTCCTTGACACAGTACCGTACAGTTTACTCAGGTGTCTCTATATATCTCAATGCTCTATAATGACATTTCAGTAACTTGAGTATTTTTTTCTCCCTGTAAGTGCACTTCAATTTCTGCCAGAAATGATCTCTCTCCTCTCTGCTTTTATAAATCTCACCTATTTTTCCAAGATGCAGCTCAAATCCCACATTCTCCATGTAACCGTCCAGCATCAGGCCCATTTGGGCAGCCCTCACTGCCTATGATATTCATTTAGCAATTAATTAAATGCAGCACTTGGCCAGTTCTGCTGACTGGAACTGCTGTTCATTCTCTCTCCTGTTCCAAGTCCTTTATTAACATCATAGGAACCCTGTCGTTGCCACGGGAGAGCAATCAATGCCTTTTTTTTTTTTTTTTTTTTTTAGTGTTATTGAGTATAAGCTTTGCACTACTCCACAGGTGTATGGAAAAGTTCTCACTCTCACAGAGCTTACCACTACACTGGGGACACTACAGACACACATATATGAAGTCCTACAAGAGAGAGAACAGTTTAAAATGAAATGTGTGGCACAGAGAAATATTTGGTGTGTGAATTAAAGGAGCCTGGCTGCAGAGGAATCATGCATGGACTTGAAGTCCTCTCAAGTTGGGGCTTGAGATGGTCTTGAAGTATGGGAAGGCAACCTGATGACCAGAGAGGAGAAGAGAAAGGTAGAGGAGAGATGGGAGGAGGGGAAGGGAGAGACTTGGCATTCCAGAGGATCAGAGGCACACACCAGGAAGAGTGGAGCCCCACTGGAGGTGAGTAAGCAGATCAGCCATGCCAGAGCCAAGGCCCAAGGTGGGTATTGATGGGAGAGAAGACTGAAGTTAGGACAGGAACAGGAGACCCTGAATGGGCAACTTAAACCTTTGGACTTGATCCAATGAATAGTCGTCCATAGGATGAAATGAAAGCTCACTCCTAGAGAGCTCTCAAAATGGGAAATATTTAAATTTACTTCTACCTAAAGGCAGGAACATAGAATCTCTCATGAGATTCTTCTGGTCTAAGTACAAAAACTATGACTTCAGACCCAGCTCCCTAGTGTCACAGGCTGACCTGTCCTCCACCCAGCTCATACCAGTCTGCTTTCTTCTTTCTGCTTGGAGCTCTTGCTTTGATCTTCCTCACTCTCTTTCTTCCCATCTAAATATTCTCCAAGCGCTTCCCTGTGATGGAAGAAAGTAGAGAAACTAAAGTTATTTCTAGTATGTAGATTCTATGTTTAGAGTTTCCATAGTACATCACATCATAATACAAAAATACATCCCATGTGGATAAAAATTTAAGTATAAAAAACACAATCATAAAAACACTAGAAGTAAATACAGGAGAGAATCTTAGAATAAGACCAAAGCTAGGGGGTAAAAAAAAGATTGACTTTACTTCTTAAAATTTAAAACTACTCCTTGAAAGTCAAGGGAAAAACTTGCAAAAGATACTTGACAAAATGTTGCCATCTAGAAAATAGAACAGGCTCCTTCAAATCAATACAAAAAAGACAATATCAATTAGAAAAACGGACAAAGGATGTGGACTGGCAATTTACAGAAGAAATACAACAGGCAAATAGACATTTAAAAATACATTTGGGCAGCCGGGTGGCTCAGCGGTTTAGCGCCACCTTTGGCCTAGGTTGTGATCCTGGGGACCCGGAATCAAGGCCCAAGTCGGGCTCCTGCTGGAGCCTGTTTCTCCCTCTGCCTGTGTCTCTGCCTGTCTCTCAATCTGTGTGTCTCTATGAATAAATAAATAAAATCTTTAAAAATAAATAAGTAAAATAAAAATACATTCAACTTTACATAGAACCTGAGAAATGAAATTGAGAAGCCTATAAGGTATCATTATTCTCTATATCAGACAAGAAAAGATTTAAAAGATTGATATCAGGTGTGGGCCAAGTATGGGTGCCCAACTATTCATAACACTCCACAGGTAGGGATGTGAAGTGTAGCAGCCTATCTAAAAGGCAATTCAGCAAGATTTATCACAAACTTAAATATAAATATGTCTCCCCTCTAACCCAACCTTCAGGAATTCTCTGCAGAAAGTACTCAGAGAAGTCTGCACAAGAATGATTATTACAGAGGTGCCTGGGTGGCTCAGTAGTTAAGCATCTGCCTTTGGCTCAGGGCGTGATCCTGGGGTCCTGGGATCGTGTCTACATCGGGCTCCCTGCAGGGAGCCTGCCTCTCCCTCTGCCTCTCTGTATGTCTCATGAATAAATAAATAAAATCTTTAAAAAAATGATTATTACAGCACTGACTCTACTAACAGGAACATGGAAGCATCTCTATGCCCATGTTAATACCTACTAATACCCACTTATTATGAGCTTATGAGGCAATATAAGAAAATAGTTCATAGCCTATAGAAAGGATGACGTAATATCTAGCAATATGCAAAGATGTCCACAATGGTAAAGTAAAAAGAGCCAGCTGTAGGGCAATATGCAAAGTATAATATTAATGTTCTTTTTTAAATAGGCTTATATACACAAAGGAAATTTTTGGAAGGACATATGCAAACAGATGACAGTAGCTATTTAAGGAAAGGGAACTCTTGTGAGGATTTCTATTCTCCATATTTTTGTATTGCATGAATTTTACAAATAGTATGTACATGTGTGTGTTAATCAAAAAATAAGACCAAAGAGGAAGAGGTAAAATAAGGTTCCTGATTATGGGCTTCTTTGGAGGAAGCATGGGGGAATGACCCCACCAACCTCCACACCATTTACCACATGGCAGTCTACTCTCCCCTCCGGCACACAGTGGCCACGAGGACTCCCAGTACTGCCTTAAGAAAAATGAAACCATCATCTTACGACCTCATCCACAGTGAAACAAACAGATCTCTTGGTCTCATTCTTTCTTGATTTTTTTCTACTACTGACTTCCACTTCTACTCCCTTTGTTCAAAGTTCAGCACAGCTCTACATATTATTACACCACCCCCTCCAAATCTAACCAAAAACCCATTTTCTTTCTTGTCATTTCATTCACTTCCCTATTCTTATTGAATCTACTCTTTGCCATTAACTAAGAGAACTAATTGTTCCATTCTACTCAGGTCTTCAGACATTGCCAGGTTAATGGTTTCCCCACTATGACACAAAATGCACTCATTCTCTTGACTTTCTACTTTGACCACCAATTAAGTACCAACTCTATCTAAATAATCTTCCCAAGTGTTCCACATCCTGGAGCAAAGACCAGTGCTTCAGAAAGAAAAAGAACTCACATTACCTAGTTTTAACTTGAGCCCCATTGCTGCCTTTTACTTATCATTTCTGGCTTTTCTTGCACTGCACTGTCTAATAAAGGTACACATAACCAGAAGTGACTGATCCAAATTGAAATATCCCGTGAGTATAAAATACAAACTAAATGGATTTTGAAGAATTTGAATGAAAAAAGAAAAATATCTCAAGATGATTTAGACTGATTATAGCTTAAAATGATATTTTTTAAATAGTGGGTTAAATAAATGATGAAATTTAATTTTACCTGTTTTGTTCTTTTTTAAGATTTTATTTATTTGTTCATGAGAGACACAGAGAGAGAGAGAGAGAGAAGCAGAGACACAGGCAGAGGGAGAAGCAGGCTCCATACAGGGAGCCTGACGTGGGACTCGATCCCGGGTCTCCAGCATCATGTCCTGGGCTGAAGGCAGTGCTAAACTACTGATCCACACAGGCTGCCTGCCCTGTTTTGTTCATTTTAATGGGGCTACTAGAAATTTGTTTTTTGTTGCTTTGATTTTTGTTTTGAGAAACTTATCAGCTTGGTTCAGTAGAAAATTTTCAATTACATGTGTGGCTCATACTGTATTTTTCTTAAGATTTATTTATTTACTTACTTACTTACTTATTTACTTATTTATTTGAAAGAGAGAGACAGAGAGTATGAGGCTGGGGAGGGGCAAAGAGAGAAGCAGGCTCCCGGCTAAGCAGGGAGCCTGATTCGGGTCTCGATCCCAGGACCCTGGGATCATGACCTGAGCAGAAAGCAGAGGCTTAACGGACTGAGTCACCCAGGTGCCCCTCATACTGTATTTCTATTGTTCAACCCTGACCTAGCATATTCCCCAAAGGAGTCATCCCCAGAAAGACCTCTCTGTCCTCACATTTGGGCTGAGTCCCTCTTTCAGGAAACTGCTTCCTCGGGGCTCCCAAAATTTTGGTCTCAATGGAGCTGCCATCTTCCTGAACACCCCGCCTCCTGACCAATCAAAGTCCCTTCTCAGCATTTAAAAAATCGGCACTTCATTGATTGTTTGGCTGGGTTTTGTGTTCTGGGTTGGAAATCATTTTCCTTCAGAACTTTGAGAGCATTGCCGCATTTGAGAGCACTGTCTTCTACCTGCCAGGGTTCTTAATCCTTCCTTTGTATGTGACAGTTGTTGGTTTCCCTCTGGAAACTTGTAGGCTCCTTCTCTTGGCTCTCAATGCTCTTGAAGCCGCTGCCTCAGCCCCTCCAGCCAATTTAAGAGTCTTCCTATATGTATGTTTGTTTTAGCAAGCACTTCCAGCCTGCATGATTGATTAACTAAACCTTTCTTTGTGTGTCTATAGATTATGCATTGCACTGTTTCTTAGAAAGACCCTGGACCAAACCCTCTTGCACAATCCCCCACTCCCATGCCCGGCACCAATGCACAACCTCCAAGCACTGAGCACGCGGATACCAGATACTGTCTGCAGCTGGCACCCCTGAGTCTGCAGACAATCAACAAACATTAAAGACCAGTGTGCTCCCCTTTTACTGCTTAACTGCCAGAAAGTTCCTCTAAAAATCTTCAGCCAGGCAGACATTGATGAGTTGGTTTCTGGGACAAGTGTTCACCTTCTCCCCAGGTGGCCAGGCCCCTGAATAAAGCTCATCTTCCTTTCCAGTTGAAACTCCTCTCTTGAGCATTGTTGGCCTTTCGAGTGAAGGGCAGCCACACTTGGGTTTTTCAGTAACACTCTGAACTTTCTCAATGGTGTGCCCACGACTGGGTCTGCTTTCACCCACTGGGCTGAACATTTTCAGTCAGGTGTTTGACCCAAGCCAGAAACTTATGAACTTCAGCGCTCATCAATTTCCTTGACTACTCCAGTGATCACTGCCTCCCCTCTGTTTGTTCTGCCCTTTCTTTATGGATCCAGAAAGGAGAGACTAGGTCTCCTGGACTAGTCCTCTAAATTTTAAAAATCTTCTCTCTCAGTTTCTGATTTTTTTTCCCTATATCCTTATTTTTTTTTTTAAAGTATTTAGGGATCCCTGGGTGGCGCAGTGATTTAGCGCCTGCCTTTGGCCCAGGGCGTGATCCTGGAGACCCGGGATCGAATCCCACGTCGGGCTCCTGGTGCATGGAGCCTGCTTCTCCCTCTGCCTATGTCTCTGCCTCTCTCTCTCTCTCTCTGTGTGACTATCATAAATAAATAAATAAAAATTAAAAAAAAATAAAGTATTTATTTATCCATGAGAGACACAGAGAGTGAGAGGCAGAGACACAGAGAGTGAGAGGCAGAGACACAGGCAGAGGGAGAAGCAAGCTTCCTGCAGGGAGCTTGATGTGGGACTTAATCCCAGGACACTGGGATCACAGGAACACAACCTGAGCTGAAGGCAGACGCTCAACCACCAAGCCACCCAGACATCCCTCTTTTTGTTCTATATTCCATGACCTTTATTCCCTAACCCTTCTAGAGTTTTCCATTTCTATCATATTGCTTAATTTCCAAGAGCTCTATTTTGTTCTTGCAACACCCCTTTTAATAGCATCCTTCTCTTGTTCCTTGGTTGCAATATCATGTCTTTTTTTCTCTGAAGATCGTCTGAATGACAGTCTTTTTGTTGTATTAATGTTGTCTTTTCTCCTACATAGTATCAAGTTCCTATAAGTTGCTTTTTTTCTGTGTTTTTACCTTGGTGTCCACCTTTCATGATAAAGATTTTCCTCTGACATCTAGAAATCCTTGGCTACCTTTCATCACAAGACAGAAAAGCTGAAGGAAGCTTGTAACTTGACAACAGTGAACTTTAGTCCAGGACTATCTACTTGGTCCACCTGGTGGGCAAATCTGGATGTCACTGCCTGCAAGTCCCTCCATGAGGGCTGATCCGCTTTTCCAGAGAGACTTCAATCTCTTGCCTCTGTTGTGAAGCTCCGGCCTGCCCATATCCCAAAGAGGGGAGAGGGACTGCACGGTCTCAGCTGCAGTGTGTACAGGGTCACAGAATCCTTGCTCTTAGTACTGTGCTCTTGCCCCATCTCTGTCCAGCGTCCCTCAAAATGTAGATCCAGTCTCCTTCCTCCAAACCTCCAGTGTCTTGTGCAAGGTCGAAAAGAGGTTCCTGGCATCCAATGATTTTTTTCTAAACTATTTCCCTGATTTTAGTCCCCTTCCTTGCCTCTACCTCTACTTGAACCTGAAGCTTCCGATTTTTGGTCTTTTGAGAATTTACTGCAGGGTAAATCAAGAGGGCTTTCAGCTTTCCTCACTACTAGTTTATATTTCCATAGCCTTGAATCTGTGAAACCATTGCCATCTGTCCTTATGCTTCCCGGCTTCCAAAATGTTGTTGCTGTTGAGTTCCTTCTGTTTTGCTTGACTTTGTGGATTTATGTCTTTTTTATTTAATCCCTTTAAATGTCATGCTAATGGGGTTTTGATAGAGATCCAAGATAAATGTATATGCTCCATCTGCCATCCTTACTCTGGAGTCCCATCTCTCAGGAATTTCAAACTTCAACTGAGACAGTAGAGACTGGGATTTTCAGGAGCTGTAGCCTATCAATACTGGTCTCTTATTTTTATATTACATTTGATTCTATTAATAGCTTCTTCCCTAAAACTATACCTTGATGGCACCCTGAAGCCCAACGAATTAGGGCTGTGGGCACCAGAGGCAATCAAGGAGTCTACAGCTAATTTCAAAATGACATAGTGGACTAAAATATGTCTGCTTTTTATTACCAACCTGTGTCAGCAACAATACAAGGTCAGTGATAAAACCCTCCTTTCTGAAAAATCTTCCATTAATCTAAGTTCTAAACAATTTCTGCAGTTACTGTTGATTTTTTTTTTTTGTTACTGTTGATTTTTAAATAACATGTACGGGGCGCCTGGCTGGCTCAGGCAGGAAAGCAAGCGACTCTTGATCTCAGGGTTGTAATCTTGAGCCCTGCATTAGGTGTAGAGATTACTTTTTTTAAAAATCATATATACATATTTATTTATTTATTTATTTATTTATTTATTTATTTATTTATTTAGTGTGTATATATATATATATACACACACACACACATACATATATAGACTTCAGTATAGAACCTTTCTATATATTATCTTTTAACTAATGAGGTTCATTCAGAGAACAAAGAGAATACAGTTGGCTGTGTGCATGTGTTTTGAGAGGACTTTTGAGATGGTTCCAAATGGTCCCAGCTCACTTAGGCACAGCGCACATCCCCAACCCCCAAGAGGGTCTGACATAAACAACAGCCCAGCTATTGAAAACATGAAGAAGCTGAACTTGGGTTAGTTCAGTTCTGTCATTCTGCATGCATTCATTCTCTAAACCTCGAGGAATTCTTTTGGAAACACTTCTTCATGTTTTTCTTCCTCCCCCATCCCCAAATACTTTAACGTAATTAAAAGGTATTGATCCATTTGTTTTCTTGTTTCAAATCAGAAATTTTACTTTTATTTTTATATTTTTTTCACTGTCCTGGTTATATAAACAAAGTTCAAAGAAAACATTCACTGTCTGCTTTCCTTTTCAGGCTTCTTTTTTTTTTTTTTTTTAATCCCCTGCTCCAGGTGTTAAACTCATTAGGTACACCACTGCACCTCACATATTCGTTTTTTCACCAGCACCACCAGCCATTCCATGTGGTCTTTATGTCATGGAGACAACCCTTTGTCAGCGATTCCTTTTCTGTTTCTAATTCCTTTTCTGAGCTCTCTTCTCATCTCTTTTTATCCTTTTTTCCAGAGTAAATTCAATCCATTCCCATGGTTTTAAATACAATCATAATGCTGTTGACCTCTCTAATCTAGAATTGTCTTCTGAGTTGAAGACCCATGTCCAAATGCCTAATGGACATCTTGGTTTTAAAGTCTTCCAAAATCCAATTTCACTGAATATGTCCAAAACCAAACTCTTGATTTCCAAATCCTCCTGACTCACTTCCCCCATCACCATCTTTATCATTTCAATGCAAGACACTACCATCTACTCAGCTGTTCAAGCCATTCTTGCTTTTTCCCTGTCTTTGACTAGCATATCTAAAATCAGTAAATCCAGTCAGTTTAAACTGTAAAGCATTTCTTGACTACATCTGCTTTCTCTCCAAACCCACCAGACCAACTTCATCCCTCACAGAACCAATGCAACTGCTTCCTAACTGGCCTCTTCAATTATACTTCTGGCTTCTGCAAACCAATCCCTCAGACAGCAATCAGAGTGATCTTAACATACTTAGAAATTTGAGAAATTCCCACATTAAGTTGTTGGTGAGTGGGTAAGAGTTATCATGGGAGGGAAGGCCAAGTGGACATCTTTAAAACTGTACCTGAATACATAAAAACAATCACAAACTGGGGGGTAGGGAGTGGGGATGGTGGAAATTAGTATCACCCTTAAGGATCTCAAGGATACAGGAGCAGTGGTCCCCCCCATCATGTCTCCATTTAGTTCACGGGTCTGGTCCCTGCAAAAACTGGTTGGATCTGAGAATATGATTATCAATACTGTAGGCCTCATTGCTGTTGCCATATAAATGTGGTATCTTTGCTGGAGTAGTGTAGAGTGGTCTTAGGTACATACAAAGTAGCTGCTGATTGGGCCAAATGTATTATTTTCTACCTAAATCAGGAAAAAGAATCAGGAAGTTCACATTTACATGGAACAGACAATAATATATACACATATAATTCTCACACTCACAGCGTCATGTTGATTCTCCTGATCTCTGTCAAAACATAGACTGAATAAATCAGGACCATTTGGATACCCCAGAGAACATCACGTTGATCCACTACATCAAGACTGACCTGAGAGCTAGATATGACCCATCTGTTTTTGTAGGGCTCATAAGAAAAGAATGATTTTTACACTTTTTAATGATTAAAAAAAAGGAACAGATCAATAGGAAGAGCACAAAGGATTTTTAAGGCAATGAAACGATTCCGTATGATACTATAATGGTGGACACATATCACTATATATTTGTCAAAATCCATAGAACACCAAGAGTGAATCATAATGTAAACTATGAACTTAGGGTGATGATGTGTTAGTGGAGTTTCATCATTTGTTTTTTTTTTTTAAGATTTTATTTATTTATTCATGAGAGACAGAGGGAGAGAGGCAGAGGGAGAAGCAGGCTCCATGCAGGGAGCCCGACGGGGGACTCAATCCCGGGTCTCCAGGATCATGCCCTGGGTCGAAGTCAGTGCCAAACTGCTGAGCCACCCACCCAGGCTGCCCGAGTTTCATCATTTGTAACAAATGAACCATTCTGGAGGATGTTGATAGTGGGACAGGCTGTGTATGCGTGGGGGCAGGTGGTATATGGGAAATCTCTGTACTTTCCACTCAATTTTGCTGTGAATCTAAAATTTCTCTTAAAAAACGAATTCAGGGGATCCCTGGGTGGCGCAGCGGTTTGGCGCCTGCCTTTGGCTCAGGGCGCGATCCTGGAGACCCGGGATCGAATCCCATATCGGGTTCCCGGTGCATGGAGCCTGCTTCTCCCTCTGCCTGTGTCTCTGCCTCTCTCTCTCTCTCTCTCTGTGACTATCATAAATAAATAAATTTAAAAAAATTAAAAAAAAAACGAATTCAGAAAACAAGATCAAAATCTGAAGAAAATTTTGTGACACATGAACATTATATGACATTCAAATTTCAATGTCTTTAAGTGAAGTTTTTTTTTTAATTTACTTATGATAGTCACAGAGAGAGAGAGAGAGAGGCACAGAGACACAGGCAGTGGGAGAAGCAGGCTCCATGCACCAGGAGCCCGACGTGGGATTCAATCCCCGGTCTTCAGGATCGCGCCCTGGGCCAAAGGCAGGCGCTAAACTGCTGCGCCACCCAGGGATCCCTTAAAGTGAAGTTTTATTGGAACACAGCCATACCATTCTGTGATCTAATGGCCAGCAAACAAGAAGTCACCATCTCGGTAGGATAGGTGACCCTGGCCAGCAGGACAGGGTACAAGTGCTCTTACACCGTGAGGGTGTTCAGGAATTCAGAAGATCATGCAGGTGCCTCTTAGAATCCTCTCGTGACAGCCCACTGTGCCTATGAGTAGACAGGTGCAACAATCCTGGCCTGAGAAGGGTATGATTATCAGGCACAGACCCTTCAGGAATGAGGGTTTGTGTCATACAACCAGATAAGCTACTGAGACCAGCAGAAGTGACAGCTGAGGTCCACTCCAGAAATGCTTGTGGAAGCAAGGCAGGTGGGGATGGGAAGGAGGAAAGAAAGACCTCTGAGAGGAGGTCACGGATGGCCTGTGTCTGCAGTCCATTGCTCGCAGTGCATGGCACAGCAGGCTTTCAATAAATTTTTAAAAACTCAATAAATAATAGTCCCTGCTGCAGAGACTATTATTTCCGTCTTTGACTCCACAAGTGTATTGAATGTGTTCATATCCCATACTTTGGTTGAACCTTCCAGAAGAAGTTTTTCCTAGCTCACCGCCTATCTTTGCGCTCACACGTGGGGCCCGCCCGCCCCGGGAAGGCGCGCGCCTGGTCCCCGCCTCCGCTGCCGACCGCCCAGACCCCCGCTCACCGCCTCCGGGCTTCCAGTCGCGCCGCGATGCGGAGGCGCCGGGCCTGGATCCGCTCCTGAGGGTTGTCAGAGTGTATGGACGGCCCGAGAACCGGGATGGACAAGTCTTCCTCCTCCTTCTCCTCCAGAACCCCCAGAGATCCCGGCGGATTCATGGCAGGTGCCTCCCGCCCCAGGCCGGCGGCGCCTGGACCACCGCCAGACCACCGCCCGGTTGCTAGCAACAAGTCGTTGCCAGGGAAAAGCAGGCACCTGACCCGCAGCTGGAGCGCGCGCGAACAGCTCCCAGGCCACGCCCACCTGCAGCTGCACGCCCCCCTGGGTTCTGTATTCTTCTCCCGGAGAGAGAACGGGACTTAGGCTCTTAGTGGGGTGAAAATTACATCAGTTTCGTTCAGCGCTGTACAAATAGCGCCTAGCATAATGCCTAATACGTAGTAAGTCCTCAACTAGTGTTTGCTGAAAGAAGTGTACACAGATGTATATGTATGCTCGCTGTAGTTTAAAACACTAGTATGACCCTGAAATCCATCAATAGGGGAACTGATAGGAACGCCTGGGTGGCTCCGTGGTTGAGCATGCCTTTGGCTCAGATCGTGATCCAGCGGTCCTGGGATCCAACCCCACATCAGGTTCCTCGCAGGGAGCCGGCTTCTCCCTCTGCCTGTGTCTCTGCCTCTCTTCCGTGTCTCTCATTAATAAAATCTTTTTTTAAAAAATGGGATTGATAAAGCTTTCACGGGATGGATAATAATGTAGCTACTAAGAATGGGTCTGACCTACAAAGACATAAAGATGTATCAAATGAGGAAGAAAGGATGTAACACAAATGTGTAGAATGTGATCCAAGTTCTATTTGAAATATATCTAGTACATATGGTCAAAAAATGAGCACAAAGTAAGGCCAATCAAAGAAGTTACTACCTGTGTTCTCTTCTAGGAGCTTTATGGTTTCAGATCTCACATTTAGAGGTCTTTAATCCATTTTGAATTTATTTTTGTGTGTGGTATAGGAAAGTGGACCAGTTTCCCCAACATCGTTTGAAAAGACTTTTTTCTCATTGATATTCTTTCCCGCTTTGTTGAAGACTGACCATATAGTTGTGTGAGTTCATTTCTGAATTTTCTATCCTGTTCCACTGACCTATGTGTCTGTTTTTGTGCCAGTACCATACTGTTTTGATCACTACAGTTTTTTTTTGTTTTTTTTTTAATTTTTATTTCTTTATGATAGTCACAGAGAGAGAGAGAGAGAGAGAGAGAGAGGCAGAGACACAGGCAGAGGGAGAAGCAGGCTCCATGCACCGGGAGCCCGACGTGGGATTCGATCCCGGGTCTCCAGGATCGCGCCCTGGGCCAAAGGCAGGCGCTAAACCGCTGCGCCACCCAGGGATCCCGATCACTACAGTTTTTAATTATAACTTGTTAAGTCTGGAATTGTGATGCCTCCAGTTTTGCTTTTCTTTTTCAAGGTGGCTTTGGCTATTTGGGGTCTTTTGTAGTTCCATACAAATTTTAGGATTGTTCTAGTTCTGGAAAAATGCTGTTGGTATTTTGAAAGGGATAGCAATAAATGTGTAGATTGCTGTGGGTAATACAGACATTTAATTATTTGTTCTTTCAACCCATGAGCATGTAATGTCTTTCCATTTCTTTGTTTCATCTTCTATTTCTTTCATCAGTGTTTTAAAGTTTTCAGAGTACAGATCTTTTACATCTTCGGTTAGGCTTATTCCTAGGTGTCTTATTGGTTTTGGTACAACTGTAAATGAGATTGAATCCTTTCTGCTGCTTCATCATTGGTGTATAGAAATACAACAGATTTCTGGGGTTCCTGGGTGGTTCAGTCAGTTAAACATTCGATCTTGATTTTGGTTCAGGTCATGATCTCAGGTTGTGAGATCAAGCCCCATGTCAGGATCTACACTGGGCATGGAGCCTGCTTAAGATTCATTCTCTCCCGTTCCCTTGCCTCTACTCCCACTCTCTCTTAAAAAGAGAGAGAGAGAGAGAAGAGAAAAGAAATACAACAGATTTATGTACATTGATTTTGTAGCCTGTGTGTTGTATGCAAGTGTTGAATCACTATATTGTACACCTGAAACTAATAATACACATGTTAACTGATTGGCATTTATTTTTTCCTTTTTTTAATAATAAATTTATTTTTTATTGGTATTCAATTTGCCAACATACACTGATTGGCATTTAAATAAATAAAAAACAAAAAATAAAAGGGATACATACATCCTGATGTTTTAGCAGCATTATCTACAATAGCCAGATTATGGAAACAGCCCAAGTGTCTGTCCCATCTACTGATGAATGGGTAAAGATGTGATTTATACACACACACATACACAATGAAATATTGCCATTTGCAATGACATGAATGGACCTCGAGCGTATTATGTCAGAAAGACAAATACCATATGACTTCACTCATATGTGGAATTTAAGAAACACAAACAAGTAAAGGTGGGAAAGAGAGAGAGGCAAACCAAGAAACAAACTCTTAACTATAGAGAACAAACTGATGGTTACCAGAGGGGAGAGGGGTGGGTAAAATAGGTGATGGGGATTAAGGAAGGCACCGTGATGATCACCGTGTTGTATGAAGTATTGAATCATATTGTACACTGTGTGTCAACTAACTGGAATTCAAACTGAAAACCTGGGTGAAAGAATTAAAATGTAGAAATTAAATTATTTACCCAAATTTACACTGCTTTAGTAAAGTTTTGATTTGAAAAAAAAAAAGAATACAAAGTAGTTGATATCTCTGGGCGTGGATCTATGGGTCACTTTTATTTTCTATTCTAAAAACACTTTACAAATAACACAAATCACTTTTGTTGTAATAAAAAAAAAGTTTATTTTTTTTTTTTAAAGAGTGGTGACAGGTACCTGAGAAGATGGCAGCAGGCAAATGTCACAGGTGAGAGAGATTTGGAGGTGGGTTGTAGGCGTAGGTCCACTTTGATGATTTACAAGCATCCAGAGTCTGGTCCTCACTGGTAGGCAATACTCCAAAAGCAGAGCTGCTTTTGAGAATGGACTTACACTAATAAGCTCATGAGAGAAAAAGAGGATACCTACTTTGAGCAGGAAACTATAATTGACACACAAGCACATGTATTTATGACCTGTGACCAGCACCTCTCTGTGGCTGATCTACAAAGGGAGTCCAACTATAATGGGCAAGTTTCTTGCTGTTGTACGACTGATGGTAATGATCTTAGGGGCCCACAGTGGATATAACTTGCCCCAAAAAGGGTAGGTGGAGTCCTTTCACCCCATCCCTGGGTAAGTTTGGGATGGTAAATGCAAACCCCTCTGAATATATGGGCTTCCTTTGCCATCTACAGGCTTGCCATCTAACTTCTAAGTATATAGTCTTTTTCCAGAAAAATGATACATTGACTTGATTTTAGTATACTAAGTCAAGTCACATACTTAATTCCACATCCATAAGATTACACCATATCATCAAATTGGGGCTTGGGAATTCATCAAACATTTACATAATTTCCTGGCGTATTCCTGTCTTCCAATTTGTGTGAATTTTATCAAGAGTCTTAGAGAGCAATCTTGTTTTATTCATTTCAAGGTATTTTTAGAACTGCCCCACCTATCATCTTCATGTATGAACAGGGAAGAAAGAAGTCATGAGTAGGTCATAGGCTTAGGGAAAAGTTCAAAGGTAAAAAAAACAGAATTAGTTATTAGTAGAAACCAAGCACTTAATTAGACCACTCACTGTGCTAAATACCTCCACGCATCATTCATAGCACATGCGCATGACTGCAGTAATATTACTAACCCCATCCTACAGGTGAAAAAACTGAGGCTCAGGAAAAAAAAAAAAAAAAAGTCACTTGCCCTGGGTTGAAGCTGGCCAGGCTGAACATGACTGCGAACAGTCATGGCATTAAAAGCTTGAGAAACTTTCAGAATGAAAGCAAAAAGAAAAATGGAAAGAGCTGATAGTAAGTTTTCTTTCAGGAAATTTGTGAACAAGTTAAAATGATGAAAGTAGGAAGAAGAGTGAGACACTTTGGAGGCAGAGTGTCTAAGTTTGGGCAGACCCAAGCTGCTTACCTAGTTTGTGCCCTGCTATGCTGTCAGGTGCTTGCTGGCTGTTGGAGGTTTGTAGATAGAAGGGCAGGGATAACTGCTGGGGCAGCCAAGAGGCTGGAAGGGGGAGGGGCAGGGGATTATGAGCACACTGCTAGAGAACGAGCCTGGGTTAAAATAGAGAACATCGTCCCCTCACCGTCTTCAAACCTATTACAGAAAAAAAAATTTAAATGCCTGCTTTCAGATTTGATAGATCAATTCTGATGTAAAAGACAGGAAATATTCTCAGAAGCAATGTTAGCAAATATGACGTTTTTCAATAAAGCTTATGATTTATATGCTAAAGATTAAGTGTACTAATAAGTGTGGGTCATTAGGTTCTTATGGAATTAGCCTGGAAAATTAACACTTTTCTCCACAAAAATGTTTTTAGGTATGAGACAACCATCTTACAAACTGTGTGACCCAGTTATTATTATATACTGCCCAGTACCCAAAGTCAAGAGCAAGACACCATGAACAACTGTTAACTGCCACCTGCCTAGTACTTTGCTTTCTGAAACAAGCCACAGGATTACAGAAAACCCAAAAGCAAGCCAGCTGGTCATTCTTTTTTTTTAAGATTTTATTTACTTAATTGAAAGAGAGCATGGACATGTGGGCAGAAGGGCAGAGGGAAAGTGAAAAGCAGACTCCCCACTGAGAAGGTTGCCTCCACCCACACAGGGATCAGGATCTGAGCTGCAGGCAGACACTCAACTGAGCCACCCTGGTGCCCTGGGCTGACTGTTGTTTAAACAAACAAAACAAAAAATCATTTAATGTTTTGCTCTAAAATAATCCAGGACTCTGAGACAAGTGACTGGATGTTCTTTTTCTGCCCATAGCTCCCTCCCCTCTTAAACCTACCAAGGAAAAAACAAAGACAACAATCTGAAAACAGTTAAAAGGATTTAAAAATTATTTACTCTTTACTTTTATTACAATAAATATTTATCAATAATAGAATTAAACAATTTTAAATTAAAACCTACTGCATTACTTTTGAGGTTCACAGCAGCAGAAATAAACATAACTCCAGTTGAAAGGGCAAGGCTTCCAGAATCCAGTGGCAAGAAACAGTCAGATCTTGATTATCTGGGCTAGCAATAGGGCACAGTAATACCAATGATGCAAAAGTAACAGTGAAATGCATAGTTGTAATCTGTGCATCAAATCATCTAAGGCTTCACAACACTGCAGCTAAGGAATTTAAGCGAGTTATGAAGCCCCGTTTCTGCAAGGGCTAGATTTCTTCCCCCATCAAACCCCTGAGCACAACTGTTCCCAGAGCTGCCTTCAGGCCAGGAATGGGCCCCGTCATCACTCAGAGCCAGAAGCCTCAAACCTGGTGGAAGCAGCTATCCTTCTCACTCACAATTCCTGGTGAAAGGGAAACAGAAAGTGACATATTTCAAGGGCCTTCCTTGGGGATTGAGATGAACTGCAAATAGGAAAGACTATGGGGCTCCAGCTAAGGTAGAGGCTTCACAGAGTTATGGGCTACATGCTAGGTCAACAAGAAGAGAACAATCTAATGATGGCTTACCATTCTGCAGATAATCAAGAATAGACTGCATGTATATATGAATGTACCATACGTATAATGCAGAAAATATGTGTACATATTAAATATGTATATACACACACGGCACACATAACCAGATAAAAATAAATGCTATATTATTTACTATGAACACAGCAAGTTCTAGACAGACCAATTATGAATATGCTCAATTAAACTACTTGAAAGAGAAAAGAAACGATTTTGTGCTCCCCTTTATCTTCTACTCTAATATATTCTAGTTGTTGCAAACACATTCCAGTTTCTTAAGTGGTATTGTTTCTAGGTACCTGAGAAGGGAGTCATCCTTTTGTTTCAGAATACTACAGAAAGCAAACTACAACAGGTCCAAGCCACACAACTCAGTAATTGATTTTGCTGTGATTCCTGTCACTTTCTCTTGGAATAAAGTCTTACTCAGAAAAATCTCAACTTTTTTTCCTACAGGCAGCTACAAATTTAACCTAGCACGTTGGATGGGAGGAGCAGGGAAGAAGGTCGGCAGTAGGGAGTCTGCACCTGGGCAATCATTCACTGTGTGTGAATCATTCACTGTGTGTGAGCATTACCTCACACTGCATTACCCAGAGGTAATGCTACTTTTAAAAGAACAATTGAAATTTGGAGTTTAATACTGAAGTCTGCTTTCTTGGCACATTCTGGAACAAGCAAGTCATTCATTACACATAGCTGGGACTTTGTCTCTTAAAAGCCAATGGGTAAGTTATCTAAACAAAATAACCTACAATGTTAATATTGTGGGCAGATTTATTAGCAGTTGTTAAAGTCTGATGCTGTATGATACTATTTTTTTTGTATGATACTATTAATTCAAACAGATTTAAAGCGCAACACGCAGAGATCTTGCAAAATGAAAACTCCCATTAACAGGTTAGTAGCATCAAATACTAACTAAGCATGTTCCAAGTAAGGTCAAGAAATTACTCTTTAGAGATAAAAGTGCTTATCAAGAATATCAGAATACAGAACTCATGGCAAATTGTGTATGTTTTAATAAAAAAAAATGAATTCTAATCTGATTACCTATAGAAACTGCTCAAGAGAAGACTTTAGCCAAAGAGTCATAAGGCATCACCAGCATTTAGCCATTCCTGGTATCGTTTTGTTTTGTTTTGTTTTAAGTAATCTTTATACCCAACATGGGGCTCAAACTCACAATCATGAGAACAAGGGTCACACACTCTACCAACTGAGCTAGCCAGGCTCTGCTAATACCAATATCTTTAATACTGTCTCTAAGTCCCATGTAGTGTTAGGTACTATATGGCCATGATCCAATTCACAAGCTTTAAAAACAGCACCACTCTGATTTAACCTACTTTTCTAAAAATGATTCTGCAAAGAGGAAAACAATGTGAACGGTCTGTAAAAGACCAGACAATCCTGTTATGCCCAAATGGACTTTCCTACAGAAGTTAAGTCCTTGTTAAAATATTCGAAAATCAGTCCAAGTGCCACCTTTCCACTTCTGGGAACCTGGCCTTTCTGACCAAATGCAATGCAGCCCCCTCACTCAGGCCACCTGTGAGAAGGGTTATAAACAGCAGAACATCTTTTGCTTCCCTAAATATTAGCTCATTTAAGATCTAAGAGCAGGGCCCTGCTTCAAAACAACCCCCCGCCCCAAAATCAGCTAGATTACTACCTCTTGCACATTTGTTTATTGAACAGCAAAGCATACTACTGGCATGTGGGTTAAAAAGTTAGGTTATGTTTATTTTGCACTGTGAGAAACACTGCAGTGAATTAGCCAATAAATCCCAGTCCTGTGGCTCCACACAAGGAAGAAGGTAACATGTCACCACTTTCTCTGGAAAGGCTATACAACCATGATTTACCATATACCCTGATTACTGCCTGCCAATATTATCAGTCATCTGTACCATTGTCAAAGATGAAAAGTAAAATATACAAATCACACAGCTTACATAATAAAGGAAAAAATCAGAAATTTACTTAAGCTTCCTAAAATGTACAGAGCATCATCACACTTTCAAGTTTCACAGTGATTAGTTTAACACTGTTTTACTGTTAAAACTGTCACTTAAAATGTACATGTCAAAGTGCTTCAAATGCAGCATACTAATTAAAACTCCTTCTGGAAGGTTCTATACTGGCAGCTAACTTAGGAAGGTTATTCACCCACAGGGTGCTCAAGAAAGGGCATGCTGCCTTACAAAGACACCTCATAGAACAAAGAAAATTCTAATCCAACTTCAGAAATCTCCAATTGAGTCCAGAACTGAGGTCTAGATAAAGGCCACTCTGAACACAGGAATCAACACAACCAAAAACTTCTGTAATTGTTTTTGGCTTTTTTGGGGACCCAAAGTCAAAGCCCATCGGGTTTACTCTGTTCCCTCCGGCATGTTCCCAGTCCTAAGGCAATCAAGGAGATTGGAATGTGGCAGATCTAGGTGCTACAAATCAAGTGGGAGTCTCTGTCGTAGGTGGTAGCAAGTCAAAAGGGAGGACAGGTGAAGGATAAAAAGGAAGAGTTACACACAGGCTTCTAGTTAAAATATAAAGTGGAAAAGGGGCCTTTGATTCAAATGCCTTCAGTTTCTCTCTTTATTTTCCACACATCACAGAATCAAAGTCTACTTTGGAAGCAAGGTACATTCCAAATGTTTTTCAACTACAAAATAAATTCTTTAAAAATTGAACACTTAGGAAACTTTCAAATTTACATTTGAATTTGAAGTTAGTGGAATAATGATCATTTAAATTGTGACAATTTAAAATGTTGCACTGTATGTACTAGGATCATCGGGCACGACAGGCATTGTGCATTAGGTGATCCCTTCTCCATCAGGGGGACCCTACACCTGCTTTTTCTTTTGCATATTCCCCCAAAGCCCAGACTCCTGGTCATGATTAATACTCTCTTGGTACCTATTTAGAATTTGGGCAACTCTAGACATATACTCCTCTTCCCCATACCTCTAAATTAAAATAAATGACACATTGGTCATAGTACTAGAACATTCTAGACCATAATCAGCATGGAGCTTTTTTAAAATTAGAATTCATTAAAAGTATTTAAGCATGATATTATTAAAATGCCAAGGACTAGCTTTTTATTTGGAAGTTAATCACTCTATTATCCTTGAGACTAAAACTCATGAACTACATCTATTATGTATAAATGGAGGAATGGCAGTGTAAACTGTGATAATTTTAAAATGTGCAATGCACTAAAGATCATGAATGTTAATAAGGGATCAGAAAAGGCAGCAATAACATACTCTATCCAGGTATTTTAAGGACTTTTCTATCCCATGCCCCCCTCAAATATAGGGGAATTATGTTTTGACAAGCATGAAATAACATTTTTCATATACCATAACCTGACAAGAAACTTCTCACAGGTCTAGGTAACTTTGGTCAGCAGAAACACAAAGCAAACCTCTGGCCTGGCTAAGGCACTCTATTCTGAAATGTACTGAAAACATGCACGTACGACCAACCATGCCACTGCTCCCCTTAAAGGCAGCTCAGTGTTGGGAGAAAGGCTGGGGAGGTAAACTCACCCCAAAATATCATGCATAAGCCTGAAATATCTTTTATGCTTTGGAAATGTTATGATAATTGGCTTGACACAAATTCACACAGAGCTATTTGCAATTAAGTCCTGCTTCAGCTGCAATATCACTACACAACAAATGGGGGCTTTTAAGATGCCCTTCAAGATGGCAGACTAACCTAAGAAAAAGTCAGCAGTCCACTGAAGATTTACAAGTCCACAGTATTCTGAAACAGTTATTCACTCAGTTTCACTCTCACCTTGTTGACAGCCACCTTTCACCTAATGGTGTCAATTAAAATATGGCATATTTTTTACTATAGGGAAATAGGTCATGAAGTACAGGCACAAAATAATTTCAAATAAACTTGATGCAACAGAAAAAGAACAGAAAGAGGGATCCCTGGGTGGCGCAGCGGTTTGGCGCCTGCCTTTGGCCCAGGGCGCGATCCTGGAGACCCGGGATCGAATCCCACGTCGGGCTCCCGGTGCATGGAGCCCGCTTCTCCCTCTGCCTGTGTCTCTGCCTCTCTCTCTCTATCTGTGTGTGACTATCATAAATAAAAAAAAAAAGAAAAAAAAAAAAAGAACAGAAAGACAGTTTGAGGTAAAATCGCCCCAGAAGTACAGAACATGACCCTATGTTGGAAGGTTTTGTTTTGTTTTGTTAACTATACTGTACAAGATGAAGAAAGCCTGCGGTCTAAATCAGTCATTTTATAAATATTTTGCAGTTCTTTTCTTATATAACACAGATTAATCTCATTCTTGTGTACAAGGCCAACAAAAAGGTAAAATGATTAGCTGAGAAACCTTAGAACAAACAAAGCTTTGTTCCTAGCCCAAATTACCACTTGATCCAGTTCAATTTTACAGATGACAAAGAACAAGGTCTACAAAAAAACAGAGTAACTGATACTAAATTTGCTCGTTCTCTGACCTCCATGATGGGAATTTATTAACAAACATGGAATCACTACCCACATTTTCCAGCATGGATTTCTCACCATTTTCAGTCTCAGAAAAAAATCACCAAATATGCCTCAATCTTTACGGACTGTTTTTAAAAATGAATACAGAACCATGAGTTAGCTCCTTGACTCCTCAATTCTAGTAACCTGGATGACAATGATTAGGATTTACAAATTTAAAAACTGAAATATCAATTACATAGTTCTTTTTACAAAGCAGCAGACTGAAATTCAAAAAAGAATACATTGTAATTAAATTTAACGATGGTCACATTCATAGATAAATAATGGTTAAGAATTTAATTACATATCAACACAGTGGTGCCTATTTTATCCAAGTGCAATCCATCCAAAAAAAAAGGGTTTAAGATACACTCTTCATTCGAGCACAAACTTCATTCAGTGGAAAATAAAAGAAAATCAGCAAGTAAATTTCACCACCACCAAACTGAATGGAGACAAAGTCAAAAAGAAATAAAATATCCACATTCATGAAAAGGTGTGATCTATAAAACCACCACACTGAAGTCAAAGGGATTTTTATGTTTGTCAGCAAACCTAAAAAGTTATCCCAAGTCATATTAAAGAGAGTAGGTACTCAGTAAGGCATATATATCAGAAAATTTTTTTAAGTGGGGAAGTGGGCAACTTAGGAAAGAAAGAATTTCTACCTCTTTATCCTATATGAAATAAAAAACACAGCACTCTCTCTTCCACAAAAAAGAGATGGACGGATGGATGGATGGAAGGAAAAAAGGGAGAAAGGATTAAAAAAAAAAAGGACAAACTGAATCAGAAATTTAATTTCGTAGTGAGGTTCATAGCAGTAATTCATAGTGAGGCTCATGAGACTTCTAACTCCAAAGTAAATTTCTCTCCTAAGGAAGTTCACCTGTGTTCCCTACAAATAATTATCCTAAGACTGGGACTGTCACATGCATTCATATAATCAGAGTTTGCAGGCACCAAATCTCAGCAACTTGCAGCTGAGGAGGAATACGCCATGTTTAAATGATGAACCATGTCAATGTGTGAGCTACAATTATGACCCACTCTCTACTAAGTCTCAATCGGATATTTTTCTTTAAAAGAAAATTAAGCCATTTATCAAGATCCCTCCCAAACAAAGAGAGCCAGAACACAAGAGGATCTAAATATATATATATACTAGCTCTCTTAGCACATGAGGACAAAAGGCATTTCCATGGGAAAGAGAAACCACTATTTGGCAACTGTACATTATAGTTCTGCAATCATTTGGCATCTCTTGCTAAAGGTGACTTGCTCTTATCTTTCCCTATATTATATTTGGGCTATTGATAACTTCCACTGCTAAAGACCTACTACTAAAGTAGTATCAAATATGAAAACATTTTGTGGTTTTCTTAATGTTACCAGTTTTCCTAAACCAATGTGGGGAGTTTAAAAATAAAAACAAAGTATCTTTAACTCTGTATGAACCAAAACATTATAGACTCATGAAGCTAAAATCACTAGAAACATTTTGCTGGTCTAAAGTACATTATGCTAAACCAAAATGCCACATGGTTTTATAAAAATAAAATAAGTTGGGAGTTAGTAGGTCCAAAATTCCATAAATTCAGGTCATTTGTATCACTCCTGCTGTCCAAGTACTATACACACTTCAGTTCCCAGGTCTGTTAAGCACATCAGTTTAGTTCAATGGTGATGGATGAAATATTTACAAGCATCTTATTTACAGTACTTTTTTTCTGTAGATTACAGGCCAATATTCTTTTCTTCCATTCCTAGTCAATCCGAGTTTGGTTTCCTCAATGAGAAGGGATAAATCTGAAAATGGTTGCTCAGCTGCTTTACCTATAGAAAACCAGAACATGAGGCAGTGACAAACACATTCCTAATTATTTTTTAAAAGGACACAGAATTCACCCTCTGGAGACAACAATTTACTGACGGAGCAAAACTCAGCAGAAATAATGAAGAGGTTTTTCTAGACTAAGATAGCTATAGAGCTAGATAGAAGGCTATAGAATTCTACAGAATACCAGAACTACCCTAGGAGGCTTAGGACTTAAACCTGAATTTGCCTAACTCCAAAATCTAGTCTTTCCAGAGCCCTCTGGATCACACAGATTCACACCCAAATCCTCTGAAAAATTATAGGGTTAGTTGACTTATAATATCTAATAGGTTAAATATTTACATATATAGACTCAATATTTAGCTGCTTATGGCATTTCTAGGTAATCATTCCTAATCTTAATGAAACAGTATAAAAATAGATCTGTACATTTTAAGAGATGTAGGCCATATTCGTTAAGGTATCCTTAGGGGGTAGGCAAGACCCTGATCATGTGTCAGTTATCAAACATCATTTATTCGATACTTCCTAGCTCTATTGCCACTATTTATATTGCAATAGTTCAAGTGAATGCTTTGTGTGGCTTAGCAAGTTTTACCTTCTGGTCAGAAGTTGCAGAAGTGGCAAGAGAGCACAAAGACAGACAAAAAAGATGTTCCCGGAATTTTTTTCCCCAATAACTTTTATGTATTTTCCAGGTTTTTAACAGTGAAAATGTACTCCTCTTATAATTAAAAAGAAAAAAAATGTTTTGGTTTGGTTTAAGTACAGTTTCCTAAAGATATGCTTCTGAAGGGGTAATAATAAATTAACACAATTATAAAAGACATTTACAACTCCGTCCTACTTCATACATAAGATTGATGAAATAAAAGATAAAAGCCTAAGAGTGTTGATATAAAATAAAGCATTTATGTTAAGGATGAACAAATAAAAACATAAAGAAAGGATTATGTCTTCCAGTCATAATCCACAGTTATCATGGATTTGTTTTTTCACCTATTGTATTCCAACAAATGTAGGTTACTTTGGGGAAAACCCTAAGGGAAGAAACCTAAGTTTAGCAACATATACATAGTATAAAGTAGTTATCAAGCATGACAGGTACCCTCATTTAAAAAATATGTACGACAATATAGAAGACATTTTTTCCTCAAACTGAGTCCCAGTAGGGTTCCTTTCAAAACAAGCATCCCAAATAGAAGCATTTTAAGAACCACAAAAACATGAATACCCTTTTATATAACCCCACTGCTACAAAACTACCCTCAGAAAATAAAGAAAAATATATTATTCCATATTGTTCACTCTAACTTGAACTTATAATGGTGCAAATTTGGAAACAACCTAAATGATTAAAATAACTGGGTTATAATTAAGTACACTGGGTAATTAAGTAATCTCCTTGATGGAATACTGTACAACAATTAAAAATCATTTTTATAAGACCATGCTAAAATATATGAAATAATTAGAAAAGAATGTTAAACTGTGAGGAAAAGAAAATAGGCTGCATGGTTCTGATTTTCATTTTATTATATCTAAATTAGGCCATTTGCCCTAAAACTAGTCTCTTGCTTTAGAAGAGAATATTAATGTTTTGCAAAATACTTCTTAAATCCATTCTCTTCTGTATCTCTCTCTATAAAAGTGCCACTAAAGCTAAAGAAGCAAATATGAAAATAGATCACCAACAAATGGGATTATTTGGTCCTCACATAATTGAAAGCATACAAGAGTTTACAATTCCATACACCAAGAAAACAGTTTACATTTCTACCTACTTAAAAACTAATTCCTCATAATTATCCAGGTTTTAAATTATTTGTAGATACTATAACATATTCATCAGAGAAACAATATCTGAAATTATGTGCCTAGATATTACCACCTAAGCTTTATAGATATCCCAATTTTTACAGGTACTTTTTTTTTTAAAGATTTATTTACTAGAGACAGAGAGAGAGAGAGAGAGAGAGAGAGAGAGAGACAGCACATAAGCAAGAGAGCATTAGCAGGGTGGAAGGCAGAGGGAGAGGGAGAAAGACTCCCTGTTGAGCAAGGAGGCATATGAGGGGCTTGAGCCCAGGACCCTGCGATCATGGCCTGAGCTGAAGGCAGACGCTTAACCCACTGAGCCAACCAGGTGCCCCTCTTCTGGCTACTTTAATAAGCAGCTTTCTTTTGAAATTTTCCCTCACCTCCTTTCCTACTACTTCTAAGAACTAAATGGAACCAATTTTGCTCTAGATTACTCACCACTTGTACTCCATAATGGATGTGGGCCAGAGTGAAAACAGCTGTTAAAGTATACAGGAGAACGCTCTCAACATAAGAGGATACTCCAAAGTTTACCACCAGGACAACCAAGAAAAGAGGGACCAGTAACCAATTCAAACTTGGGCACCGGGTACTGCTCATTTGACAAACAATCAGCTGACACTTGAAATTAGGAAAAAAAAAATTAATTAGCAAAGCACTTCCAAAATTAGTCACTCCAACATTTAAAAAGCATTCTAATACTTTAGCCAACAGTTACATGATATTATTAAATTCAGTAGTTCTAAACTGCTCAGGAGCTGAACTGAACCTTTGCCTCCACCTCCAAAACCATGGACCCTCAGAGTGTGTGTCAGAAGAGGCTGGAGATAATTTAGTAAGGATGCTATAGAAGGCATTTTTCCACTAGGTAACAGTTCAGATAAAAGAAACTTCTTCCAATTTTAAAATGCTATGATATCTGAAAAAAACTTTCAAAACAGCCTTTTTAATAGCTCCATACCACTAAATTTCTTCATGGTGATAAGGAAATGCTATGACCAATTCAGTCATATTGTCATATTAACACCTCAAGACCTCTCTGGTTCCCTTTACCTTCAATACCTTACTCAAATCGAGTTTTACTCCTTTAGAGATATTTTTTATACACTGTATTAATACTTTTAGATCTTTAAATCCTGTGAAATCAAGAGGAGTGATGCTATTGAACACATTACAGACATGGAAACAAGCTCAGTGATTAAGTTATAAAGTAAAAACTTACTAAGCTTTTAGAGTGAAAGCACAGGCTCCCTGGTTGTCAGAATCTTTCTCAACTCCTGACCTCTCCTACCTGTCTCCTGCTGTCTTGCTGGGTCATTGTACAGAAAGCATTTTTTTTAAATGTTCTATGTATTACAAAGCTTTTACTCTGTTAATTTTAAAATCAGCTAATTTAAAAGTGTGTGCATGTATGTTTTCTCTCAAAAACTCCTTTCAGCCTCCCTAAATTAATCATTAGATCTGCAGCCATGTGAAAAAGGAAAAAATAATATTCAGCATGTTATATCCTTTGGGGTTATAATTCTTTCAGGTTTCTGAAGTAAAATATCTTTAAATTAAAATCTGTTTAATATATAACATTTCTCAAATTATCAAATTTTGCCATATATTCCTTATATTATTACTTTTAAAAGAAAAAAAATCTTACTGTTATGTTGGCAAAGGCTGTTCCAACCATAAAGTAGAATACTCTAGGATGCAACTCTAAAATATCTGAAGGCGACTGAAGGATCCATGCTGTAGACAAAATGAATAGCAAACATGGAGAAAAAAAGGGAACCATAGCTTCATAGATTGAATTGTGTTTCAAGGTGTTATTTTTATAGCTTCTGAAAAAAAGAAAATCAAGTAATACAAAGAACATTATTACATATAAACTCACACTGCATTTGTAAATTTTGTAGTTTTCAAAGTATTTTCACACTTATTCTCTTACTTTATACTCACAATCATCCCATAGCACAAATAGTATCAGCATTACTTAACTCCATTTTGCAGACAGGCTAAGTGATGATGTGAGAATTTAAATTTACATAACTTGCTACCAAGTGGCAGGGCCAGGACTAGAATGGAAATCTTCTGACCCCTAGTCCCCTATAATGTAAAGATGAATAAAACTTGATCTTTGTTCTGTCAGATTTATATTTGAAATGGGTAATAAAATGCACACAAAACACCACTAGGAAGTTCTACTACAATACAAAGGGACAGAGAACCCAAGAGTGGAAGACTCTGCACTGAGACTGCCCTGCCCATAGCATTCTAGGTGCCTCTGGCACACTCTCCCAATATGTCTGCCCATCTGAACAGAGCCCCAAATTCTAGTCTTGGTTCTGCCACTGATTACATGATCTTGCACAAGATATCGCCCTATCAAGACCTCATCCTTAGAAGACAAGGAGAAAATGTCTTAATCTTTAAGGCCTTCAGAGCTTTAAATGTTATGTTTTCTATGAATAGCTGCCATAAATAGGGAAGACTCACAGAGCCTGGCTTGACAGATAGGATTCTGTAGGACAGATCTGAGAGCTGAAGGCTGAAGTACGAAGTATAAGTGTTTCAAGCAGAGGAAACGGTACCACAGGGTAGTGGGAGCAAAATTACCAAGGAGGGAAACACCAAAATACATTCAGGTCCTCTAAGTAAATTCAGTGTGGCAGCAAAGCTGGAGAAGTACAGATCAAGGAAATGAAACTCCACCCAGGAAACTCCTACCTAACCCCTGCCCTATTCCTCTGGCAGGAATTTTTATATATAGTGCTACTTGGAAAGTCAGCACAGATCCAGGGTTTGGTCCGAAACTACACAAGTTCAGAAATTTTATTTTATGATCATGCTGACTAAACTTATACAGAATCAATTTATAAAAACTTATAATCGATTTCTAAAAAGAACATAAACCTATCAATATTCAACAGGAACACACTCCTTCCCCATTCACTCCACAAAAGAATGACAAACAGAAGACTATCTAGTGAGCCAAAAACTATAACAAAAGAACCAGTAGTTTTGTGCTGTGGGTGAATTGACTCACAGCCGCTACTGTAGATACCTTAAATGATCCTAACCTCAATTCTAGGTTCAAAATACAGGTTTCATGACCTTTTCAAAATGTCCAAATGCCAAAAGTAAAACAGATCCTAAAATCCATCTAAGTAACAATTTTCACATTTCCCGCCCAATTAAGAAATACTTACCTGAAAAAGTTTAATAAACTCATTGGAAGAGTCACACATAATGCACAACCTAAAAGGAAGAATAAATTACTGTCAATTATTATTCGAGTGATTTTTTAGAATTATCAAATTCATACAAAATATTTAATACTTTTAGACAATAATTCGCAGGTTCGGGTTTACTTTTGTAATGAAATCAAATACACTTCTGAGCAATATTCACAACCAGAAGAGTGGTAGAACAGCTTGGTGATTCAGAGCGGAGGCTCAGCAGTTGAGATTGGGCTTGAATCTTGGTTGTACCTACGGTTATGTGATTTCAGGCAGATTAACTTTTCAGTGCCTCAATTTCTTCTTTTATAAAACAGAGACAATAGGATTGATCCCATAGGGTTTTGAGAATTAAATGAGTTACTACAAACAAAGACACCTGGAACAGTACCTGGGATGCAGTAAAAGGCACAAGTGTGAGTCACTGAAAGAGGTGATGATTAACAGCATCTGTGGTTTCCCATTTCCACTTATTTTTATCTCCCTATTTTTAATTTTTCACCCATAAGCATACACTAGTTCTTTCCCCTAAAACCTAAAAACAAGGACAGCCTTCCCAAGACACCCTCCTATTGCTTCTGCTGCCCTCACTCTATGTATTATCTTACTCTGCTCTTCCCTATCACTCACCAGACCTTCCTGTGGCCTTCAGTTCCTTAATACTCAATCATTCTGCCTTCCCTCTACAGAAACTATACTCTTGAATTTACCAAACTCTCCTAATGATCAAATTCAATATTCTTTCTTCACTCTTGACTTCTAAGTGAGATGATACTCCAATGACTCTCTACTAACTGCAATTCTTTCCTGCCTTTGGCTTTGTGATCCATTCCAGTGCTCTTGTTAGTTATCCAACCATTACATGTGCTGTCCTTTCCTGGCAACTCTGCCTCTTGCATATTCCTAACTGTGTATTCCACTGTGCTTCTATTCTCCCTCAGAGAATCCTGTCTTACAGCTTTAACTACAAGCTTCTTATAGGTGACTCCAAAATCTAGTAATGTACTCTTGGGCAAATCAGACAATCTCTCTGAGCTTCAAGATTCCACAGCCGTACAATGTGGATGGGTTAAATGACCTCTTAATGTCCTTTGCATTTTTAAAATTCTCTGATTCTACAAATTAAAGATGCAAATTCTCGATTTTTTTTTCCTCTATCAAACTCCAAATCAACACCTGTGGCAAGTTTCTGGCTACTTCATTTGGATATTTTGCCATCACTCAACAGATTAGCCCTAGCTAGTCCACTCTAGACCTTCTCACCGACTATGCTTGGCTTGGGGCGGGAAGGTGATCAATGCAGCTATGACCTTAAGAATCAAAGACAGAAAAGCATTCCTTCAAAACAATTCCTAAGACATTTTGCTAAAAACAGATGAAAAGACTGGAATCCACCAAACAGAAATCTCATCTGAAAAGACGAATTACTCTATTTCCAAGCCCAACTGCGACAAAGCTCCCCAAGTAGAAGAGCTCTAAGAGAAAGGAAGAGAAGACAAGCTCATGTCCTCAGAAATTTTTTGCAGCTGACTCCATGTCAAGCTGGGAAGCACTGGTAGGGAGACGGGGCTGAATTAATTAACCCAGAATCACTACAGCTCTGAGGTGTTGGTAAAAGGCTGACAGAAACTTGAAAAGATTTGCTACCAAGAGTATTTTTAGTTTAAAATACCTTGAAATAACTTTATCTTAAATACAGCAAGCATGCAGGAAGCCTGGGCTATATATAGGTTGCCAAAGAGACACACTGCATCTTCTATTTCTTCTCTAAATAGCACTTAATGTACTTTCCATATTGCAGGTTGCCTTCCAGATCACCGCAGTGAAGTGAATGTCATAATAAAGCAAGTCACATCATTTTTTTTTTGGTTTCCCAGTGCATAAAAGTTATGTTTATACTATAATGTAGTCTACTAAGCATGCAATAGCATTATGTCTAAAAAATACTTTAACATATATTGTTTTATTCATTTGAGAGAGCACACACGTGAGTGCCCACACAAGCAAGGCATGGAGGGAGGGAGAAGCAGATTCTCCACTGAGCAGGAAACCCAAGGCAGAGCTCGATCCCAGAACCCAAAGATCACGACCTGGGCCTAAGGTGGACACTTAACCAACCATATGAGCCATCCAGGCACCCCTAAAAAATACTTTACTACTAAAAAATTCTAATCATCATCTGAGCTCTCAGCGAGTCATAATCTTTTTGCTGGTGGAAGGTCTTGCCTCGAGGTTGATGACTGCTGAAGGTGGGGGTGACTGTGGCAAGTTTTTAAAATAGAAAACAATGACACTTTCCACATTGACTGACTCCGCCTTTCACCAACAATTTCTCTATAGTGTGCAGTGCTGGTTGATGGCATTTTATCCACAGTAGAATTTCTTTCAAAATAGGAGCCAATCCTCTCAAACGCTGCCGCTGCTTCACTCAACTCAATTTATGTAATATTCAAAATCCTGTGTTGTTATTCCAACCATCTTCACCAGTAGATTCTATCCCAAGAAAACCATTTTCTTTTTGATCCATAAGAAGTAACTCCTTGTCAAAAAAAAGAAAAAGAAGTAACTCCTTGTCTCTTACAAAGTTTGATCATGAGATTGCAGCAATTCAGTCCCATCTTCAGATTCTTGCTGATCATTCTACTTCTCTTGCTATTTCTACCACAGCTAGTTATTTCCTCCACTGAAGGCTTAAATCCCTCAAAGTCATCCATAAAGGTTGGAATCCACTTCTTCCAAATTCCTGTTAATGTTGATATTTTGACCTCTCCCCAGGAATCACAAATGTTCTTGTGGCACCTAGGAATGGTGAATCGTTTTCAGAAGGTTTTCAATTTACTTTGCCTAGTTCCATCAGAGGAATCACTTTCTATAGCAGCTATAGCTTTAAAGAAAAAAAAAGATATTTATTTCTTTAAAAATAAGACTTGAAAGTTGAAATTATTCTTCAATCTCTGGCAAGATGGATGCTGTGTTAACAGGCATGAAAACAACATTAATCTCATTGTACGTTGTCATCAGAGCTCTTGGGTGACTAGGTGCTTGTCAATTAGCAGTAGTATTTGAAAGAAATCCTTTTTTCTGAGATCTCAATAGTGTGCTTAAAATATTCAGTAAACCATGCTATAAACAGATATACTATTAACCAGGCTTTGTTTTTCCATGTAGAGAGGACAGGCAAAGTAGATTCAGCAAATTCTTAAGGGCCCAAGGATTTTCAGAATAGCCAATGAGCACTGGCTTCAACCTTCAAGTCCCCAGCTGCATTAGCTCCTAACATGAGAGCCTGTCCTTTGAAGCTTTGAAGCCAGGCATTGATTTCTCCTCTCTAGCTATGGAAGTTCTAGATATAATTTCCTTCCAATGTTATATCTATACAGAAAATCTGTTGTTTGGGCAGCTGCCTTCCTTAATTATCTCAGTGAGATCTTCTGGGTAACTTGTGGCAGCTTCTACATCAGCATTTACTGCTTCACTGTGCACTTTCATAGTACAGAAGTCTTCTTTCCTTAAACCTCATGAACCAACCTCTGCTAGCTTCAAACTTTCCTTCTGCAGCCTCTTTACCTCTCTCAGCCTTCACAGAATTGAAGAGTTAGGGCACTGTTCTGAATTAGGCTTTGGCTTAAGGGAATGTTGTGGCTCGTTTGATCTTCTTTCCAGACCACTAAAACTTCTACATATCAGCAAAAAGGCTATTTCACTTTCTTATCATTCATGTGTTCAGTGTGTAGCATTTTTCATTTCTTTCAAGAACTTTTCCTTTGCATTTACAAACATAGCTAATTGCTTGGTGTGAGGAGCCTATGTTTTGGCCTATCTCGGCTTTTTTCCTCACAAAGCTTAATCATTTCTAAATCGTGATTTAAAGTGAGAGATGTGTGACTTTTCCTTTCACTTGAACCTTAGAGGCTACCGGAGGATCATTAACTGGCCTAATTTCAATATTGTGTCTCAGGAAACAGGGAGGCCCAAGGAGGGAGAGAAATGAGAGGGAGAACAGCAGGTAGGTAGAACAGTCAGATACACACATCAATCAAGTTGCCTTACATGGGTGTGGTTTGTGGTTCCAATAATAACATCAAAGATCACTGATCACAGAGCATTATAACAAAAGTTTGAAATATTGCAAGAATGACCAAACTATGACAGAGACATGAAGAGATCAAGTTCTAACAGACTTGCCCGACAAAGGATTGCCACAGACCTTTGATTTGTAAAAAAACACATTATCTGCAATACACAATAAGGTGAAGCGCCATAAAATGAGGTATACCTGTACTGGGAAATCTGCCTTATTTATTTGTAAAGAAACATGTGGGCTTCTGTTTTATTTCAGAGAGAAGAATTCAGATAAACTTACAGATCACAAAGAAAGTCATGTGCCTATAAAGTACCCACTTAACATTCAAAAATATATCTCAAATACCAGAGGATTTCATCTTATCATTAAATTTAACATTTAAACATAAAATGCAGCAATACAGCCATAGGGTTAGCCGCTTAAATCAAAAGATTTGCTATGCGGTGGGAGTGAAAAACAGATACCCTCTTCAAGGTAGAGGATTCAGTTCATACAGAAACTCAAAAATGCACGCTGGGAAGATCATAGCAGGGCTCTAAAATATCCGTAGTCCAGGGCCCAGAAAAAGGCCCAAACAACTGCCTAAAAGCCAGTGCCTATTGCACCACCTTTTTGGCTGCTTCTAAACTCAACTTAATGCCCATCCTATTATCAAGGTTCATTGGTAGTGAGAGAGGGGGTTTTTTAGATAAGGGAACACAACAATAGCCAAGAGTTTGCTATTTTACTTCTACAGAGATCCTCTCGTCACTCCTAGCACCCCAAAATAACAGCCCAGATAACTCCCTCTTTGCATCTTTGCATAGAAAACACTGCCCCTCCACCCCCGATATCTAATGAGATCTATGGATATCTCTGGTTAAAATCAAAAGGAAAAGATTACCACGATCAAAAACTTTTACCTAATATCCAGTGGCAAAAGAAGGAGAGTATCTGAGAGGAACAGAAGCTCAACTTTTGGAGTGGATATATTATGAAATAATCTCTATCTTTCATTTATTCTACTTTCCACAAACTAATGATTTTCAATTTTGAGACAGGCATGAATTCTATACCAAATGTCCACCTAAATGTGGATCCTCTATATAATAGTCTAGATTCATTTAAATTGTTAGTTTACAAGGTTTATGTGATTTTGGTATTTATTTCCTTCTGACTAAAAATAGCAGCTTAGTGCTAAACAAAAAAACCAAAACAGAGAAACTTCATTTTCCTTACTGGTTTGGTTGAAACCAGGGCTGTAGGGCTGTTCTGCTTTGCTGGAGGGTTTGGGAGAGGGGAAAAGGTGGTATAGCTTGTTATAATCAAACACTGGCTTCAATAATAAAGTGATGTTAAAATAGGCTTCAACATGGAGCTTCTTACCAATAATCATTGCAGTGAATAGGTCTCTATATAAGAAATTAAACAGGAAAGGTTCATACCAGGCCTCAACTCCCACAATCGCAGTCACTATGTAGACAAAAGATATAGTCTGGAAGGAAAATGCAGACAAAAGCATACAGGGGCATTAACAGCTGGAAAGATCAGGAAGACAATAATGCTGTATGCAGCATAAATCTAGTAAATAGTTTTAGTAAAAGCAAGAAGTACACTTAAATTTGAGACTGTGGCAAGTCTTCTTGCCTTTAACAATATGTTTTTCAGCCAACAGTGCCATAAAACAACTAACTTCTAAACAGTGCAAGCAACTGGGCATAATTTAGAACACTTTAATGCACTTCAGGAATTGGTTAAGGCATAAGATGATCCAATTTGCCTACCCAATCACTTTCTTCAAACACACTCCAACGTCTGATGCTTTACTGGGGCCTTAGGTGCAAATGGGCAAAATGGCAACACAAAAAGCTGGTATTCAAAGACAGGGAGAGTTAATAGCAAGCCTAATAAGTAAGAGAAAACAAGTATCTCTACTCATTGAAACATGGGCAGAAAAGACAAAAAAGCAACAATTATATGTGCATATTTTTATTTACAAAAATCAACAGTTCAAAGGAATATTTATTAACACTGAGAGACTCCTCTTTTTTTGTAATAATGACATTGTGATTATGCTTTTTTAAACAGTACTCTTACTATTTAGAGATATATATAGTAAAATATTTATCATCTACTATCAAGAATTTCCTTTAAAATAATTTGGGAGGAAGGGTATACATGAAACTGGACTGGCCATGTAGCTGCTGAAGCTAAGTAATAGGTACCTAAGGTTCACTATGCTATCCTACTTTTCTGTTTGAAATTGTTCATAAATAAGGAAGAAACAATACAAAATAAAAAAGAATTTTTTTTTTTTTAAAAAGAAATTTTTTTAAAGTACAAATCAGTTCTTGCCAAAAAAGCGTAAGGGCTATAAAGAAGGAATGACAAAAACTTGCCCCCAAATTCATAGCAATGTTGAAAATTTAAGGCACAACATATACTTACCACCTGGCTAATGTCATATCCCCACGGCAGGAAAAGAATCCCTGTGTTATACTTTTCCCAGTGGGACAGGATGAAAGAAAACAAAACGACCCACAGCAGGAGATAAAGAACAAAAACACTGACACCAGATGGTCCTCGTCCAAAGATGGAATATACAGTCACAACAAAATAAACACATGACCAACTATCCAGGCCATGGTCAAAAAGCTCCCCTAAAGGGGTGCTGGAATTGGTTCTCCTGGCTTGCTTTCCGTCCACACCATCTGCAACCAAAACACATTGCCATGGGAAAAGGTCAACATCTGTACCAGTATGCAGAAAGTCTTTTTTAATAAAGTAGAGGGAAAAAAAAGTGGAGAAACAAATAAAACAGATCAGCAACTTAGCAATGTTAATTAACAAAGGAATAGCTACCAGCCAGTACTTTTTGTAAAAATCCAATCCTTCACTCCTACAATTTGAAGATTTCAGAAATAAAATCTGTAATTTCTAAGAGTTTAATCTAAAAATTAAAATACATTACATCACACTAAACAGTGTCAGTTTCAGATCTGAGGACAAAGCATTGTTGCTAGACTCTGAATTCCTCCAAATCTTCATAACAACTGAGTTGTTCAGTTAGCCACATGTTCTCCAGCCTCCAGAGAATATTCAATTAGTTACTCATCACAATTTATCTAACCACTCCTTGTTCTAGGATCCAAAAACACCCTGTGCTTCAATTCTAACACCGATTTCATGTTGTTAGAAATTACAGTCACTTTGTTACAGATGTACCACTTCCATAATTTTAAGTACTTTCAGAAAAGGCTTTGAATGAAGTAGACATTCTGTAAATGTGAGAATTAAATGTATTAAAAACATGTAATGCACTATGCTTGATGCTGTGAAGATTAAAAGAATAACCTCAGAACAGATGAAGTTTGTGCCCTCAGCATTTATAACTGAGAAAGGAGACAAAACATGGTAATTAAAGATAGAGCACATCCCAAGCATAGAAGAGTACAGAAAAGGGACAAGTACTCTTCAGGCTAAGAATCGAGAATGGCCTTCCAGACAAGACGAAACCTGAGTGGGGACATAAAGAATGAGTTGGATTTCAGTAGATAAGAGTATGCTGTTTCAAGAAGAGGGAGTGCTATCAGCACAAACACCAAGATGGAAAAGCACATGAGGGTTCAGAGAATGCCAAGTAGTTCAAGTTGACCAGAAAAAAACAGTATGTTAAAGGGCAGTAGTGAAGCTAGAAGGGAGGCTGGAGCAAGTTTAAGTTTCAGGGAGTACCAGGAGCTACTAATAGGATGTGAGTAGGGGAGTGATTAGAATGAAAGTAGTGACGTGCTCTGAGAAGATTCCCCTGGCAGCAGAAGGAATGACAGGTTGGAGAGAGGACACTAATCAGCAGGCCTATGTGGACATGGGCTACAGTGGGAATGAAAGGCTCAAGGCAGGTGAGATATTAAGAAAATTAAAATGGCAATGTAGTGAAAGATGAGCAGTGAGGCTGAAGGACCAGAAGATCCTTTCCAGAATCTCCCATCTGGGTAACTAAGAGAGGGATAGGAAATAAAGAAGTCCAAAGGAGTATGAGAGATGGAAAAGATGCTAAGTATAATTTTGGATGCTAAAACTGAAGTTTTGGCAGAATTCCACATGGTAATATCAAGCAACTCAACCTAAGGTACTTACTAGCAACTCAGAAGACAGACGAGGGCTAGATAGAAACTCAGGAGTCATCTCCATAGTCGGAAGTATCAGGATTGCCAAGGGAATGAGTGGAAAGAGAAAGTTAAGGGTAAAGCACAGTGGAACACCTTCATTTAGAGGCAGAAACAGAGGAGCCAGGTGGTGGGGGGAGTTGGGGGGGTGCAGGGAGAAAGACAGAATAAAAACCAGCTAAAAAGAAGAACCTGAAGCATAACTCTCCATGTTTGTGCAGGAACCAACTACTCTGCTAAAGAAGGTATCATTCCTGTGGTCTCTCAGTAACTGCTGGTCTAGTAGACATTTTTAAGAAGAAGAAGAAAAAAAAAGCTGAATCATAAAAATTTCTCCCCAAAAGAAATAGTTTTGTTAACTATTAGGCTAATTGTAAAGATTCAGATTTAAGGAATTAAAAATTCCTATGATCATTGTATTTACTTGCTCACCATAGTATGTACTACCTATAGCGCCTACCTCAGTTTGTGGCAAAGAAGGCCTTTAGAAACATTGCTGAAGGAATATATGAAAGGATGAATCCCAGATTTCCTGTCCAAACACTACAGATCTCTGTTATATAGTGTTGGGAACTCTTTTGCCATTAAGTAGCTAAAATATTTCCACAAAGTCTCTTCTCATTATTTGCTGGGTTAAATTCCTGTTTGTGGTGCAACTCCTGGGCAGTTATTACAAACACTGAATTCATGGGCTGCATACTAATTAGGTGGTTGTTGTTTTGTTTTTTTTGTTTTGTTTTGTTTTGGTTTTTTTAAGATTTTATTTATTTATTTGAGAGAGAGGAAGAGGCAGAGGGAGAAGCAGACTAGATGCTGAGCAAAGAGCCTGATGCGGGGCTTGATCCCAGGACCCTGAGATCATGACCTGATTGGAAAACAGGTGCTTAACCAACTGAGCCACCCAGGTGCCCCACTAATTAGGTTTTGTACATTTTCCCACTGAACCCATTCCAGCTCCAAAGTCTGATGTCTGGATATGTTTCAGAATGGGTTGTTTTTTTTTTTTAGAAAGGTAATTCAGGGCATATACCATATATTGGGGGGGGGGGGGCAACTCAGGAAGATCTAGAACAGCACCCTGTGATCAAACACATTAATATTTCTGCAGCAAAATGTGAGAATAGTCACACTAGAATAAAGTTTAGAATTTGCCTCACGTTAGTTCAAGGCAGTTTTGCAACAAAGAGTTAATGTTTGGTCAGGATTTTTGCCAAAATTGTGGACATGAAACAGGTAGGTGGTACAGTACATCAAAAGGTTCTTATGACATGCTGTTAAAAGTCAGAGCCTCCAGGCCACTCTCACCTTTTCCCCTATTTCTTCCTGCCCTTCCCAACCAACCCTACAGCATAATTTTCTAAACCTGCTCATTTTTAAGAACAAATGTACAGTGTGGGAGAAAAAAAAAAAAACAAACGTGCAAAAGTTTCTGCCTGAAAATGTAATTTCTCACTAAGCTTTTCCCTAATTCTTCTAGACTTCATTCTCTTCCTTCCCCAAATTCTCACACCTTTGGTCACCTGCAATGTCAGCAGTTAATCATGTACCAAATTATAATGATTTTATGAATACAAGTCATTTTTACCTAAAGAGATCCTAGCAACTTTAACTCGGGGTCTGGTATTTTGTATTCATTATAAAACTATACTGAGAGCCTACTATATGTTAGGCACTATTCTAAACACTGGGTACATAGCCCTTAAAGCTGCAAGTAGGTCATATGGCTTTAAGTACTATGGAGAAACATAAAGCAGGGAAGGGGAATAGGAGAATACAGGACAAGCCATGCAGATAACCTCAACAAAAAGCATTCTTGGCAAAATAGACAGTATGGCCTAGCACAGCAGACTTCCCGAACCACCCCCTCCACCAAATAAGAATTGATCATTTCTTATTTTTGTTCTCTCACTGTGCTCTATTATAGCAGCTCTCTCAGTATTCCACAATTTGATACGTCAGTATTGCTTCCCAAACGTAAGGCAAAAACGATGTCTTATCCCAGTTGTTGGTAAATATTCTTTGTAAAGAGCCAGAGAATAAATAGTTGAGGCATTGTGGGTCATCAGTAGTCTCTGTTGCAACACTCAACTTTGTCTTTGTTGCAGAAAGCCAGCAGAGACAACATGTAAAGGAATAGATATATCTGTGTTCCAATAAAACTTTACTTATAAAACCATGCAACAGGCCAGAGTTGGCCTGTAAGAGGTAGTCTGCCAACTTCTACCTTATTCTTTGCATTCCTAGCAACAAACGACATTTTCCATACAGAAACTCAAAAATATATGTATTACGTTGAACGGCAAATTAACAACCCCGAGTTAAAATGAATTAAGCATAAGCGAAAATGTTAACTTGGTAAGATGGCCATCCCTACTGACAGATTCACCAGTCACTGAATAATGAGCATTTGCCAACTTCTTACCTAGAGTGTAGGCTATGAAGTTGAGGATGCCCACTACAATCCAAACCCAATCAGGGACATGCTTGTAACCTGGTGCTGCAAAGGAAAGCAATGCAGGTTTTAATACAAAGTACAATTGTTCTTACCATAGCTATATACCGCCAATGAGAAATATTTCTATTAATTAAATAAAAGCTAAAGTACTTTATAATGTACTTTTAATGCAGAATTAGGTAGATATTAAAAATATATCTGTAAACTGACAAAACTTTGGTTTTGCCAAAACCAAAAGTAGCTGCCCAAACCCTCATAAACAATAGACATTTGAACTTCAATCATAACTCAAAACTGTTCATCTTTACTTGAAAATTATTTACGCACTGGGAAAGAAAATTAGTATTTTTGAGACTTAAAAGATGCTTGTGTTTAATCTGATCCTCATTTACAATTATCCTACAAACATATATTGAGCTTTCAATCTATATTCTATCATTATGTTATTAACTAGCTAATGTGGATATAGACAGATCACCTCCACTGGATGAATTTGGCATCAGAATCATTCTGAAATGCCAGGACCTCAATATTTCCCCCTAAGATAGAACAACTGAGAATCAGGAAGTCTGGGTTCTAGTCCTGTATTCAACTAGCAGTGTGATCAAGAAAATATCATTTAACCTCTCCTGTTTTCCATTTACCAGATATACCAGGACTGGATGGTTTATCTAGTCCTCCAAGATCTAGGATTTGGGGAAATATACATTAATATTTACATATTTTTACCTCTCTTAATAACTAAGTAAATAATGTTAGAGTAGTGGGAAAAAATAATTATTTCTAGTTATAAAATAAACTTTTGATGATGTTCTAAGATTAAAATACAAATTTTTTAAAAACTGCTTAGTATCAAAACGATGCTTAATAAAATTTAGTCTTATTATTCATGTTGTACTTTATGATCTTCATAAAGTTGCCATTTTATTACATGTATAGAAGCCATGGATTAAAATTTCAGTTGATAATTAGGTATATATATAGTTTCAATATTCAGAATTTCTATAATGTTAAGTCATAAGTTTTTGAAACTCTGAACTTTCCACAAAAACAATGTTGTCAGTGACAGTTTCTCCAAAGTCTGTCCACAAAAGTCTGCTAAGCCCACAGATTAATTATGACACGTTTAAAACTCCTTACTACATCATTTTTAAGTATTCGTTATTTTTTAAGATTTTGTTTATTTATTCATGAGAGATACAGAGAGAGAGGCAGAGACATAGGCAGAGGGAAGAAGCAGGCTCTCCACAAGGAGCACCATGCAGAACTCGATCTCGGAACTCTGGGATCACACCCTGAGCCGTAGGCAGACGCTCAACCGCTGAGTCACCCAGGTGTCCCATTTTTAAGGATTCTTATTAGAAAATACATATCAAACTTAGAACGCAAAAAATTTTCATTCTATCTTCCCTCCATCTTTCCATTCCTCTCAACTCCATCAACTGGCTGAGCAATGAAAATAAACTCTATCTCCCACTTATCCCTCCCTCACCCCCAAATACAGCCAGATTCTGTCCCATGGCCTACATCAGAAACAGAGCAAGGGAGAATGTGAAGACAGGAATAGGGTGAAAGACACTGGAGTCTGGGGTGGCAGCAGGCAGACAACTGCCTCCAAAAGCGTTTCTTTCCTCTCTTTTCCAATGAGGGTCTCGACTTCAGTCAATAAACGTTTGAGGTCTAAGAACCATTTTCAATGGAAACTCGGTGTCATTAAAGGCAAATATGGATGCTGAGCAGAAGGAGAGATCACATTCCCTTCAAAAAGGGGGAGGACTTTTCTTGCATAATTAGAGTAAGAAAGGAAAGGATATTTCTGGAACTGATAAGTACGTTGGACCCTGTTCATACTCAATTTCAGGCAGTGTCATAGTCTTAATTATTCATCCTCCTATAAATCCAATTATTATTCCTTATTTATCAAAATCTCATTGCTTTTTAGATAGCATATCTAAATTAAGGAGTCAAGTGGGTTTCTAGAATTTGATGGAAACATCCATAACAGATTGTGAAAATACAACTTAGCTTTTACATCCAATTCCTAACATTTTACATATCCTTATAGTATCCAAAAGTTCCACAAAATACAACCATATGAATAAAACCAGAAGATAACCACATCTCATTTTTCTCTATTTAGACATGGTTAAATTTTATATTAAAGTAATAACCTTACCTGAAGCATAAAAGTCAGGATCAAAGTATGCCATAAGTAGAAAATTGAATACAACCAGCAGAAAGCCAGAGAAGGTTATCAGATTTGGAGCCAGCCAGGTAGGAAATACCTATGTTTTTTTTCAAAATAATTACAAAATGATTAAAATAAAGGAATCTTTCTGGCCATAATACAAGATGCAAATTTAAGTGATAATAAAAGCTATAAACTTAAAATATCACACATATATTAAAATGTAAGCCACAATGTCCAGTTGAAAAAAAAATAAGCATCTTTCTTCTATTTTTTATATTTTAAATAATTCTGTAATCAACAAATTTTTATAATCATAACATTACATTTACTTTAGAAAATTTTTAAATTCATTTCACAAAAATGATAAATTCTAGAGTATAAACTTAAACTCCAAAGGTGAAATAAATCAAAAGGTATATGACCAAGGGAAAGGAGGATGGGAGAGTTAGTTTCTCTAGATTCCTATCAAACAAACAGCTGCATTCATAACACTCCTTAAAAATTTAAAACTTACTAAAACAGAAGTACAAGTCTATTAATTATCTTACCTTTACTATAGTGTTCCAAAATGGATGCATGATATACAGAGAGAGTGGATTGGTATCCACAGCACTGTACTGTTAAGAAATGAAAGAAAATATTCAGTTATCCTTGCACATTAGCAAGTAGAACAGTATTTTTGGAGTGAAAATAATATTACAAAAATAACTTGGAGAATATGTCTATTTACATGATGTCCTCACCTAAATAACAAAACTGGGGGAACATTATAAGTGGGACAAAGACAGTCAAGTACAGCCAGATTTCTTTTTCTCACTCAATTTTTATAATGTTGCAATGTTTCAGCAGAGAAATTTATATTGCTTACAAGTTCTCATTTACAATGCCAAATCAGGGATCCCTGGGTGGCTCAGCAGTTTAGCGCCTGCCTTTGGGCCAGGGCGTGATCCTGGAGTCCCAGGATCGAGTCCTGCATTGGGCTCCCTGCATGGAGCCTGCTTCTCCTGCTGCCTGTGTCTCTGCCTCTCTCTCTCTCTCTCTGTCTCATGAATAATAAATAAAATCTTTTTTAAAAAATGCCAAATCAAAATGTACACACTGTGTACATTCAAATGTTGACTTTTCTCAACCTCCTCATACCACCACTAATGCACTTAGTAGCTGTGTGACCTTGGGCAAGTTTCAATCCTTTAGTTTGTTCATCTGTAAATGTTCATAGCTTCTATCTCAAAGGACTGCCACAAAAATTATGTAAAATAATCATATGTGAGAAATACATATTGCCCACAGTAAGTGCTATGTAAGTATTAGAAATTATTAAATGTGGGGGTGGGGTTAAATATTTTATTTATTTATTCATAAGACACACAGAGAGAAAGGCATAGACATAGGCAGAGGGAGAAGCAGGCTTCCTCTAGAGAACCTGATGTAGGACTTGATCCCAGGACCCTGGGATCACGCCTTGAGCTGAAGGCAGATGCTCAACCACTGAGCCATCCAGGGGCCCTTAAATGTGTTTTAACCACTGAAGGATGACAGTTCCCTTTACAGCAGGAAAATGGATTACATAAATAAGCAAAGGAAGACAATAGGTTAGGGTTCTGTGGTAATCCCTAACTATTGAGTTATTTAGTGAAACTTCAAAGGAAATTTTAACAAATATTTGTATATAAATACATAAAACTTTAAGTCATATCAATGACTTATTATTCATCAAACACACACATACTGGAGTACCTGGCATGTTGAAAGCACTTCACTCAGTGTGGGGAAGAAAATACTCAATTGGTAAGGGTAATTCCCACCTCAAAGTGTGGGAATATTACCTAATTCGTCCAGCTAACATTTAAACAATGTCACAACAGTCAAATATCTGAAAAAAGTTTTTTTATATTAATATTTAGTTGGTACATAAACTAAATAGTAAGCAATTGAATATGTTGGCACCCAGATCCACCTGATGTAGCCAGTGGGTCAGGTAAGTGGGGAAACCACACATTTCAAGCGCATCATCTACAAAATACAAAAGCTGTAAGAAGTCCAAATCAAAAGGAAACTTTAAAGATATCACATGAATACCTAATACGATGTACAAAGTACAATGTTCTTAATTTAAATGTTTGCTTGATGAGTCTCATCCAGCAACTTTCCATAATTTAAATTAGATCCAAAAGAAGGCCCTTCCTTAACTGATGATATTTTTATTTAAAGGGTCCTCTTTTTAAATTCTAAAGTTTTACCTCTAAATTTCTACTTCAAAAAAATAAAAAATAAAAAAAAAATTTCTACTTCAGGAGACCAAAAGTATGTAAAGAATGCAGTGCTAAATGTAAGAAGGTCAGTTTGCTTAAATGGACATTTCACATTTAAGCTCTAGTACAGCAAGAAATGTAATATGAGATCACAAAAGGTAGCAAACAATAAACCTAAAAAACACTCTGTGTTCTAGCCTTACACACCTGAGTATTTTTCAAGATCACATATCACTTAGTATAAACGAAGAAACTTAAAACTGTCTTGTGAATCAACAGGAAGAAAAAAGTGATTCAAACCTTCCACATGCATGAAAAAAATACATAAACTTTTAAAGATGTTAAACTGGGTTCAGGTATCTGTGAAAGCTAATTAAATATATTTTTATTTTCTATTGGAATGGTACAGATCTGAACACTTTAACCAGGTAGATAATCCACTGTTAAGGCCCACTGTGACTTGCTTGATCTTCAGTCTGCAAGGCCAGATGAGACTACTGCCCTGGAGAAATGCTTGAAAACCACAACCCGGGTTTGAGAGAATCACTCCAAGGCAAAATCTCAGAACACAAGAATTCAGAAGATGTCTAGTTCTTGTATACCTGACTCTCATCTTTGCAAATAGGTAAAATAGTTATTTGGCCTCTTTTTAAATGCCTCCAGTGGCAAAACAAAAAAACAAACCCTCATTATTTCCAGAAGCAAACCAACCCATATTAAACAAACTTTTCTAAACACCAACAAAATCCTCCCTATGCCCCACATTTTCTAACCTGTTTTCATTTTGCTCTACAAAGTTAAGCAGACAAGGGTCCAATTTTTCTTCTAAACGACAGTGCTTCAGTTACTTGAAAACCATTCTCCCTGTCACAACCTACATCTTCTCTTCAACTGCTTAAACATTCCATGTTCCTCTTGCTGCTCTTTTTGCCACGCTTTCAATCTTCTTCCTCATCTAGGTCTTGTGCTTTGGACCAGAGGTTGGAAAGTTTTTTCTAGAAAGCACCTGATAGTAAATATTTTAGGCTCTGTAGGCCATACGGTCTCTGTAACAAACAACACCACCACTGAAGCAAGAAAGCAGTCACTGAAAACAGGTAAACAAATGGGCACAGCTGTGTTCTAGGAAAATTTTATTCACAAAAACAGATGTCTAAAGGTTTTAGTTTGACAACCTGTGCTCCAGACAATCCAACGTGTTGCTAAACCAACACAAACATGTGATTCAGGGCATAAAAACCATTTCATGTGGCACATGAGTAGAAAGAACGGTGACCATAAGCCCCTCTCCCTCAACATTCCTCTGATGCTCAACATATTAATTTCCTATGGCAACAAAATCACTCTGCAGACTTACATACAATACACAGTTGGACTCCTAAGCCATCTTTCACTATGCTGGTATGAGGATGACTGTTGGAAGCTAAGTACAAGACTCTACATTTACCATTATAACATTTCATCTTAATAGATTCAACTCATCTTTCTATCCCCTCCAGATCGCTTCAGATTCAGACTCATCTATCCAAGGTAGTAGCTATGCCTCTCCAAAATCTCAGCTTGTGAATTTATCATGCTAATAATGCTGATAAAGTCAACATTCACCTAAGTCTCTGTAAAAATGCTGATCATAATAGAACTTCTAAGCATTTCCCTCAAGATTGCTCTTAGTACATTTAATAATTTTTATTTGGGTATAAACTTGTCCTGTCATCTACAGCAATTAGCCTACCTTTCTCGCAAAAGAAAAACTTCATAAAATCTTAATAAAATCAGACTTTAGATGACATTTTGCCAAAAATCAGAAAGTTCCAGAAGTTTTTTTTTTTTTTACTTTATACAAGTCAAAATAAAGCAGAGTTCATTCTTCATTCATTCATTCAGTAAGCCAACAAATATTTATGATTGAGTACCTATGAGTATGCCAGGCAAATCTGTGCTGAGCCCAGAGAAGACAATGATGAACAAGACCAAAATGTGCCCTGTATTCACCAAGTATACAGCCCATTGTAAATAGATGGTAAGCACGAAAACAAGGAATAATCACAAGTTGTGTTAAATACTGTGAAGGAAATAAGCAGCATATTTTGCAAGAGGACACAGGGTAGGAAGGGTTCCTAGTCAGAGCAGTCAGAGAAAGCTTCTCAAAGGAGAGAACACTCAGCTGAGTCTAAGAAGATGAGAAGACAGGGAACATATGAGACACTATATTGAGTCAAAGAAACAAGACACTAAAGAGAACATGCTGTTGTAGATTCCACTTACATGAAGCTAAAAAACATACAAATTAATTTATGACAAAAAAGTCATAATAGTTTGATGAGAGACACTGAATAGGGGCCTTCTGAAGTGCCAGAAATAATTCTGTATCTTGATCTGGGTGGTAGTTATATGGGTATATACATATGTAAAAATTCATTAAAAGACACTTAAGATCTGTGCATTAATATGTAATTTATATCTAAAGAGAAATCAAAAATCAAAAATATATATGTGGCAGGGGCGCTTGGGTGGCTCAGATGGTTGAGAGTCTGCCTTCGGCTCATGTCATGATCCCAGGATACTGGGATCAAGCCCCACATCAGGCTCCTTGTTCAGTGGGGAGCCTGCTCTTCCCTCTCCCACTCCCCCTGCTTGTACTCTCTCTCTGTCAAATAAATAAATTAAATCTTTAAAATATATATATATACATATATGTGTATGGCAGTATGCATGTGTATGGTGTGCATAGGTGTAGCAGGGAGGGAAGTACATGCCAAGATAACTTCCAAGCAAAGACAACAAAATACCTTCCAAGCAAAGGCCACAAAGCTAGAAATACTTGACATACTGAAGGAAGGCTAATGCAGCTATAGCTTAGTGAACACAGAAAAATGACAGGAAATGAAATGGAGGCATGGACCTATACCACCCAGCAAGACCACAGTGAGCCAGATTTTATTCTAAGCCCAATGCAAACACTGATCTATATTTTAAATGATTTTTAAAGGATTGTACTGACTACAAAAAAAAAAAAAAAAAAGAACTGGATGGAGACCAAAGTGCACAGACCAGTACAAGACTCAAAGTACATCAGGCAGAGAAGATTATGGGTTAGACTATAGGTTAGGATTAGCAGTACAGTTACTTTTAAATTACTTCCAAAGACGCTCTGAAGCATATGTTTTGGAGAAGGACATTAAAAATGTGACATTCCCCTTAATTTAAGAAGGAAACTGACTCTGATGAAATGAAATTATGAAACTGCCTCCTTGGACATAGAAGTATTTCCTTTACAAAAGTACTATATTTCAAATCCCTTCTCAGTACTGATAAGAAAAATGATACAAACTAATGCCCCTGGCACTAAATACAGAGCTTTGGAC